AATGAAAAGGAAATGTGTGAAACATTAAACGAAAAGTTCCAAAGTGTGTTTGTACAAAATGAAATCTTCAGGGAACCAGATACAATAAGAATTCCAGAGAACAACATAGAGCACATAGAGGTGTCCAGAGACGAAGTGGAAAAAATGCTCAAGGAGCTAAATAAGAACAAAGCAGTTGGTCCAGATGGAGTTTCACCATGGGTTCTGAGAGAATGTGCACCTGAGCTCAGCATTCCTCTTCAACTGATTTTTCAGGCATCCCTGTATACAGGAGTTGTAGCTGATGTGTGGAAAAAGGCTAACATAGTTCCAATCTACAAAAGTGGAAGCAGGGAAGACCCCCTTAATTATAGACCGGTAACATTGACAAGTGTAATAGTCAAAATATTGGAAAAAATAATTAAAACTAAATGGGTAGAACACCTGGAGAGAAATGATATAATATCAGACAGACAGTATGGTTTTCGATCTGGAAGATCCTGTGTATCGAATTTACTCAGTTTCTATGATCGAGCAACAGAGATATTACAGGAAAGAGATGGTTGGGTTGACTGCATCTATCTGGACCTAATAAAAAGGCTTTCGACAGAGTTCCACATAAGAGGTTGTTCTGGAAACTGGAAAATATTGGAGGAGTGACAGGTACGCTTCTAACATGGATGAAAAATTTTCTGACTGATAGAAAAATGAGGGCTGTGATCAGAGGCAATGTATCGGACTGGAGAAATGTCACAAGTGGAGTACCACAGGGTTCAGTTCTTGCACCAGTGATGTTTATTGTCTACATAAATGATCTACCAGTTGGTATACAGAATTATATGAACATGTTTGCTGATGATGCTAAGATAATAGGAAGGATAAGAAACTTAGATGATTGTCATGCCCTTCAAGAAGACCTGGAAAAAATAAGTACATGGAGCGCCACTTGGCAAATGGAATTTAATGTTAATAAATGCCATGTTATGGAATGTGGAATAGGAGAACATAGACCCCACACAACCTATATATTATGTGAGAAATCTTTAAAGAAGTCTGATAAAGAAAGAGATCTAGGGGTGGTTCTAGATAGAAAACTATCACCTGAGGACCACATAAAGAATATTGTGCGAGGAGCCTATGCCACGCTTTCTAACTTCAGAATTGCTTTTAAATACATGGATGGCGATATACTAAAGAAATTGTTCACGACTTTTGTTAGGCCAAAGCTAGAATATGCAGCAGTTGTGTGGTGCCCATATCTTAAGAAGCACATCAACAAACTGGAAAAGGTGCAAAGACATGCTACTAAGTGGCTCCCAGAACTGAAGGGCAAGAGCTACGAGGAGAGGTTAGAGGCATTAAATATGCCAAAACTAGAAGACAGAAGAAAAAGAGGTGATATGATCACTACATACAAAATAGTAACAGGAATTGATAAAATCGATAGGGAAGATTTCTTGAGACCTGGAACGTTAAGAACAAGAGGTCATAGATATAAACTAGCTAAACACAGATGCCGAAGAAATATAAGAAAATTCACTTTCGCAAACAGAGTGGTAGACGGTTGGAACAAGTTAGGGGAGAAGGTGGTGGAGGCCAAGACCGTCAGTAGTTTCAAAGCGTTATATGACAAAGTGTGCTGGGAAGACGGGACACCACGAGCGTAGCTCTCATCCTGTAACTACACTTAGGTAATTACAGGGCTCTGCGCTTGGACCTATCTTGTTTCTGATATACTTAAACGATCTCCTGGAGGGTATAGACTCATTCCTCTCAATGTTTGCTGACGATGCCAAAATTATGAGAAGGATTAAGACAGAGGAGAACTGCTTGAGGCTTCAAGAAGACCTGGACAAACTGAAGGAATGGTCGAACAAATGGTTGTTAGAGTTTAACCCAAGCAAATGTAATGTAATGAAGATAGGTGTAGGGAGCAAGAGGCCAAATACAAGGTATCATTTGGGAGATGAAATTCTTCAAGAGTCAAAGAGTGAAAAATGCAAAATCTAGAACAAACAACTACATCTTGCAATGGGTCCTTGTGCAAGGGTAATGGAACTTTCAGAGATGACAACAAAGAAATGAGTGAAATACTGAGGCTCCAGTATGACTGTGTTCAGTGAACCCTTCAACACATTGATGATCAATGATCAAAACAAATTCTTTATGAATGTGACACCACTATTGCTCCAATTCCGTCTGACTGCCACAATGGGCTGTCGGAAGCCCTTTTCAGGTCACAGGGTCCCTTGTTAGCTCATTGATCACTAATGTGGCTACAAAATCAAACCCCAATCCCACGACAATAGCAGGTCAAATATCACTGCTCAGGGGAAGAGTAGAACAGCATCAGTACTGAGGCCTGGTCGAGGACCGGGCCGCAGGGACGCTAAGCCCCGAAAACACCTCAAGGTACTGTAACCTCAAGGAGGCACCAGCCCAAGTGCTACAAATCCATAGTATGGGTGTGGATAATTCTGAAGACAAATGGGCAGTTAACACTTTCGCGCTATCTGGACGCGCCGGCGCGTCCCGTTTCGTCTAACGCTAACGCATAGTGGACATAAAGTTGAGTCCTCTTTTAAAATATTTGTATAAAATTCAATTTTTATCCGATTTACTTTGGGTTTGTTTCAAACTGCGCGCTATGAGGCTCTCTTTCTCACCACTAGGCTGCATGGTACAATAAGTTCATGAAAGGTGTGGATAACTTCGATCAAATGGTATTTTGTCCCAAACGGGTTGCAGGTGGGTGACTTTAGCCGTTTATACTGGTAATGCTTCCCCCATATCATGTATTATATGCATATGTCTGTTTAGGGAATTTTATTCCGATCAATATACAACCAAAAATAACTGTGTGCAACAAGTATAAACTTGACAAACATAACAAAAGTAAAAACATTTCGTGTGTGTTTGACGCTCACTGATATGTTCCAGCGTTGTTTTATATTTGGCGCTATTCTAACTTACGCTTTGTTGATATTTTTTACCTATGGGCACATAGAACATTCTATTGCGAACACATTGACACAAAAATGAATGACGTACATAGAAAATTAATGTCATGAGAGTGAAATAAGTATAAACTTTCAAAGCGCCGTGCGTCGTCCCGTCACCGATACCGGGTAACAATTTCACCACTTCCCACACTCTTGCGGGCGGGCCGCATCATTATTCTACGCTTATATTCATATCACTGTGTTGGGAATTTCATTGCGAGTCCATTGATACCAAAATTAACGCTGTAGAATAAGTGTGGAGGTGATTACAATCCCAAGAGTAAAAACATTTTGTTGCTGATGGGCGCTCACGGCGAGTCATCTTCGTAGTTATTTATTTGGTGCTGGTATCCCTATACGTTTCGTGACTTTTTTTACTGATGTTCTTCTAGAGAATTTTATTGCGAACACGTTGGTACCAAAATGAAATACGTAGCATGAGAACTAAGGTCAGAAGAGTAAAAAGAGTATACACATTTTTGTTTTTACGCTTAAGCGATAAAAACGCTGCGCGCACATTCGGTTGGCTGAGTGACCTTTGCGGAAAGCGCGAAAGTGTTAATACCCAGTTGAAACTGCTAGTAATTAAGAATTCAGTTATTATCAGACATAATACGGTACCTGTATTATGGTATCGCCTACAAAAAAAGCTGTAGGTTTGGTCAAATTCCACACATGATGTATACAGGAGACAAACATTAGGCTGGTGGAATTGGACAACCTGCTGAGAGATCTGCAAGAATTTAACCTTGGCACAATAAACCGAGGAATGGGGAGAAGTAGCCACAAGTCAAGTCGCAGAAAACTAAGCCTGTAAATGTGGAAAATAAAACTAGACTGGGAATCAGAAACCCATGGAACCCCATGAAAGAAACCTACAGGAGCTGGGAAGAGACAAGCATGTAAGAGGAACAGAAAATGACACCGAAGAATACCAAAGACTCCCGGCTGACAGATTGAAGGCACCTGTGGAGCTAATCGTAAAATTAAGTAAGCCAGGGCAATTGAAATGAACTTAATGCTCTTATGTTGGAGAACCAATATCCACTAAGCTGTAAAGACACATGTGACATTTAAAGGAGAAGTAGTTATTAGCTCTGAATGAGAAACATGAATGATTGATGAGCTAGTTGTTGGAACCTGGGTGACCTGGGGAGCAACCCTTTGGAGGATGAGTAAGGTTGGAGCAACAAGAACTGTCACCCATGTAAAGTAAAGTACCAGTTTAAGTGTTTTGTTAATTTCTCTACAAGGATTGTTTTGTTTGGTGACACTTTTACTTTGAATAGTTTGTTTTGGTAGTTGATTGATCTTGCAGCTTCCTTCACCTGACAACTGAATGGACAGCGCTCGGGATTCGTAGTCCTGAGGTTCTGGGTTCAATCCCCGGCAGAGGCAGAAACAGATGGGCAGATTTTCTTTCACCCTGAAAGAGTTTCCTTTCACCCTCTTTACCTAGCAGTAAATAGGTACCTGGGAGTTAGACAGCTGCTACAGGCTGCTTCCTGGGGTGTGTAACAAAAAGGAGGCCTGGTCGAGGACTGGGCCACAGGGACGCTAAGCCCAGAAATCATCTCAAGATAACCTCTATCTGTACTAGATTCTGGTCCTGGGCTCTCTGTAGCACTACAGAAGTCATCGGAGGCCTTATTGTAACTAGCTGCTCTTCTGACTCAAAACCCTTAGCTTAGGAAAATTACTAAGGGGTCCAGCACATTAAATCAATGCATGCACTCCTTTCACGGCATTATTTTAATGTCATTAGAACATTAAATATTTTTATGCAATGCATTTTAAAGCCACATTCGTAGTTGTGCCTAGTTTGCTATATATATATATATTTAGCTCTAGGTGAGAACATTTGTTTAGGGATTTTTGTAAAGATAAGCATAAGTCAGACATGTGCTCACTGCTTGTAAAATTGATTGCTAATCACGCACCAGGATGACACGCTGCTTTTATTGTATAACAAATTATTAATTATTATTAAAATAATGTTTTACATTTTTGTCTAAACAGATGTGGTATAGTAGCTCTAAGCATGGCTTCACAAGTTTTTCCGGAAACAGTTGAAGTTGTGGAGTTGCTTGAAGCTGCTAAGAAACTGGGTTACTCGTGCCATGGAGAGATGTTCAGCTGTGATGCCATGGCCAAGCTTGCTGGAGGTATTAATGGTATGGAGGCTACAGTGCGAAGAGATGTCTTGTGCAACCCCAGAAATATACTCGAACTTCTGATGCAGGGAGACTTGATCCTTGTGCCGTATCCTTTTCTCTGCTGCATATCTCTTAAGGATTTGCTCATGTATTGTTATACATCTTGTTCTGATTTTGTAAAAAGTTGCAACATGTTTACATTTCTCTTTGCAGCATTTACTGTGTACTACTTTATTCAAATTTTCAGTTATGAGCTTATTATACAAAAAACAAAAGAAATTTTAATTTCATGCCCGTAAATAAATATTTCTTAGGGAAGCACCTTGTTGTTCTTTGAAACTATTATGCCAAGATGGTACCATCTACTAGGTCACATCCACGTTCTGTAGACCTACTGGGGATCAGCACCAGAGCCTGGCCCCCTGAAAGATGTTCAGGGAGCAGAACACATGAGACCAGAAGACATGGCAGGATGTGCAGAATACCCCCGTTGAAAAACAGAGGTGCAACAGGTACTCTGAGAGAGAACTCTATCAACATCAGAGGTCCGAGACTGTTCAACACGCTTCCACTACACATAAGGGGCATAACTGGCCAACCCCTCACAGTGTTCAAGAGAGAACTGGATAAACACCTCCAAAGGATACCTGATCAACCAGGCTGTGACTCATACGTCAGGCTGCGAGCAGCCGCGTCCAACAGCCTGGTTGATCAGTCCGGCAACCAGGAGGCCTGGTCGACGACCGGGCCGCGGGGACGCTAAGCCCTGGAAGCACCTCAAGGTAACCTCAAGTTAAGGTAGCAGTGACATTTATTTTCACCACCTCACCGAGAAAGGCAACCAGAAAGTTAGCAAGTCAAAACAAACTACTGCTGACTTCAAAAGAGAGTGACACCTCACAAGTCATTTTGAGAAGTCTCTCAACTATGTAAACACACGATCAAAGTCTCTTGGAACCATCATGAGCTTGTTTGTCCCACCTTCCCCACTCGTTTGGGGGAGGGGTGGGAGGACCCTCACTGTCAGCCGGCTTCTCAGCCTCGGTTTTATAGCTGATGTAGTGTGTATCAGATCTTCTGTGCTGGCTCCAGTGTTCTCTTTGTTCAGCTAAGTGGTGGCATTTCCAGTACACTTCATTGTACAATCATATTATGTAATTATTGTAGTGTGGGCCAAGTTTTGAGGGCACAAAGTTACCTTCGCAGTGTGCTCCCTAACGCTGCCCTTACATTGCCAGGGTTATCTTCCCTGGAGTATTTAGGGGTCGCTCCCTTCCTTGCTTGTGATAGCCCTCTCGTAGGGCGAGTCAGGGGTCTTGGAAACTTCCCGTCCCGACTCGGGGTCGGGAGCGGCTATGGCTGGTGGGAAACACTGGTGGTTCACGCTTTCCTCTCAATGCGCCGAGGATGGCTTTCACAGTCACGTTAACCAAGCTGTTCTGGCTTGCTTATAGGTCCGGCATAACAATCCCAGTTCCTGGTTGTCCTGCTTGGGTTTTCCTTGCAGGCTCAGGAAATCCCCATGCATGTTTGGTGGTCCCATAGATGTCCTCATTGAACCTGTCCTTGCTTCGTGTAAGTTTAAGGGTTGCTCTTCGTCCATGCCACTTGGCAATGTTCATTCCTTCTGCCTCCACCATGCTGCCTATTGGGTCGGTGACACCTATGACCCTGAGCCCTGTGGGGGGTTTGCTCTCCCCATGTGGTTGCTCTTTGTGGTCCTCTTGGTGAGGTTAGAATTTCCCAGGCAGTGACAGCTTTACATATTAAATTGTCTAGGTTGCCATAGTCTGGGTTGTGTGCTTAGTTGGATGCCCCAGAGCTTCCTCGATTGGTGTTTAGGGACCCGGAATTGGAGGTGTTGGTTACTTTCCCTTGGCTCTGCCCGCATCTCTTCTTCCTTCGGATGTGGTGCGTCCTTGCTCCTCCCCATGCTTCCAGTCCAGGACATTGGAGGGTTTTGGGGTCATATCAGAGGTTTAGTTTGTGATGTGTCTCAGTCAGTTCCAGGGATTGCTCATCCTGCATTGTGCACAGAAACAGGTCCTGCTGAGGTTTCTGGGTCTTCATTTTAGTCAGCATCCCCTTCCTTGGAAGCCTCTCCCATGGACTCTGCTTTTCTATCCGGGTGGTGGGTGTGGATGCCGGCCCTGCCTTAAGGCCCCTAACTGCAGCTTCTAAGGTGGAGGGAGTTGGATTTAGACCCCTGGGTCCCATTCAACTCTATGTGGTTCCTCATTTCTTCAGAGGAGGGTCTCTTTTTGTGGGGCGAGGGGTTTTCATTTCCCCCATTCCCTGTACGAGTATGTTTTGAGCACGGCTTTCTCCTAGGGTTCGTTTCCACCTGCCTTTGGGCACGTGGACATTGGGATTGTCCTTTCAGAAGCTTCCTAGCTCTCGAGGCCTTCCTGTGGTGGCCCATGAGGCACTGTTTACATACCTCCTGCATGACCCCAGTTTACGCCTCATTGCTGGACCCTGCAGCTTTTGACTTTGGGTCCTCTCCTTATTGGATGTGGTACAAGGTTCTGGAGTCTTTCTGACTGGCAAACAATCCCTTTTTCTTCCTTGGTGCTTGGTGGGGTTTTGATCATGTTACAGGCATTTTGAGGGAAAAGGGGGCTCTTATTTTGCATCCCTTCATGACTGCCTATTTTCTCTCGATCTTCTCGGGACATGAGTGGGTTGAAGTAGGCCATCTGTTGGGTCAGATGTCCGGTCACAAATGCTTCCCTTGGCTAGTCCATTTCCTTCAGGTCAGCGCTATGCTCATTATACTCACAAGGTATTAACTGCTTGCGGGTTATGCCGACCGGCTCTTTTGTAGTTTGCCCCTTTGATAGGGCATTGGGAGGGAAAGGCTGGCTCGCCTGGTTTGCTGACTCCTGGTCCCACAATTCATTGGCCTTTAAAGTCGTTTTCCATGGCCTGCAGTGGTGTTGGTCGGTCCCTTCCCCTTCTGGAGGTTTGAGTCTTACCGGGCAGGCCTTTTCACCTCACCACCTCACCTCCATTGGGTCCTCGTGGAGTGTGTGGCTTCTGGAGTGGTTGTAATGACAAGTCACTTCAGTGGGTTTCCCACCTTTTCCTTGTCCCAAAACAAAACTCGCTAGACCTCTGGTCCATTCTTTGCCCTTCATTCTAGATAACCACTGTCCCAGGTCCATCTTGTTCTTGAGGCGGATGCTTTGAAGATCTCCCTGTACTGTACCTTCAGGATGCGTATTGGCATGTCCCTATACATCTGAGGTTCAGGGATTAGCTAAATTTTTGTCGTGGGGCGGTCGGCTTACTGCTTTCGGGTTCTCCTATTGTGGCTCAATCTGGTTCCATGTGTGTTCACTTGCTTGGCTTGGGTTGTTGTGACTGGTTTTCATTTGTTGGGGGTTCAAGTTTTGGCTTACCTTGATGAGTGACTGGTGTGAGCTTCCAGCCAGGCTGCATGTCTGCTACCCAGGGATCTGGTTTTTTCCCAACATGCCGGGTTCAGGTCCCTGGTAAGTTGATGGAAATCCCAGTTGGGTCTGTCCCAGGTTTGGACTTGGTTGGGCCCTCGTGTGGGACTCGGTCGGCTTTGCTTTCCATTCCACCAATGGCCTTGACCTGACTGCAGCACTGCCATCTGTTGGTGTTGAGTTGGCCCCGGGTGACTCAAAGGTTTCTCGAGCAGTTGTGTGGTAGCCTTAGCTTGCCTGCATACCTTCAGGGCAGCCTCTTTCACCACTGCCATAATCATTGGGTACAGGCCCCAATGGCTCTTCGCTGGCTGCTGCATTGCTAACTTCCTTTCTGGGCTTTTTGAGATTTTATTTTTTCTGCTGCCCTCGCTTAATGTCTTCTTGGATGTCTCGACTCTAGGTCGACGCATCGCCACTTCTTTTCCCTTCATCGTTGCTCTTCAGTTTCTGAGAGTGTAGTGCTCTCCTTGTTTTTTCTTCATGGCAAATACTGGTGCCTTGTTTTGTGCAGCACTAGTGGAGCCACTACGGCTTGCATTCATTTTCGATACCACCTTGACACCATTTCACAAGCTGTCTCGTGCCTTGTTTTGGGGATCTTTGCCTTGTTTTGCCATCTTTTATCATGTTTTGCCTCTGGCCTACTCATGAGCCTCCTGAACCAGCCTGGTTCAGGTGGCTGTGCAAAAGCTAGCACAACCATGTGCTAGCTTTCCTTTACTCTTCTCATTTCATGGTGTCCCCTTCTATCTGGGTTTCCTTTTCTCACGATTTATTTTGAGTTTCTCTTGGTGCCAGAGTGTCAGGTTGGGAACTTTATGCTCTCCTCCGGAGGTGGGATTTTTGTTCCTGTGGTCCTGGGTGGGGCTGGGTGGAGGGGGGGCATGTCATGGTTTGTTTGCAGCTGGCTTCTTTTCTGGCAAGGAAAAGAAGCTGGTTTAAATCATCCTTGGAATCATCGACAAGTAAACGACAGGTACCCTCTGGGCCATGTGTGGTTGAAGGTGCTTTACCATGTTCTTCAGTGGGTAACCCTTTTTTGTGTGTGTGGATGGGACCATACAATGCATGGCCCTCTTTGCCTGAAGGGGATCTTGCATCACCATTTTCCTCTTTCTTCATGAGGTCATTCAAGCTGATCACTTCACTGACATGTCAGTCCTTGGCTGGAGCGTTATCTTCAGCAGCGTATCCATATTAGACTGCAGATGTGGCAATCTGGATGGTGCTTCACCACACATGTCTCCTGCAAGGCTTTGCTCTCCAACTTTAATTTTTGAATGAGTAGTGGCAATCCATTGCCTCAATAGGGAGGGTGTAATTCCTTACCCTAGTTTCTTCAGGTTTAACCTCTTGTTAACATCTGATCTCGATGGAATGGTTGAAGTCTCTTTTTCTCAAGCTGTTCAAGATATCCAGCTGTCTGCAGATGGATCTGTTTGACACTGATCAGCAGCTTCCAGTATATGTTGCACCATTACTGGATTTTAAGGCTTTAGCAGTGGACATATTTCCTGGACTGAAGTTGCTAGCCTTATATACACACAGAAATCACATTTAACGTGATCAATGAACATACCCACAGGAGCCCTGATGAGGGTTCGAACATATGCTGGGTGTTTCCTGGCGCGCTCTAGTCTACTGCAAGTGACATGGCGAAAAGAATTGCAACCTGGGGTACTACTGCACCCACAAGGGTCCCAAGGCTTCCACTGAAGACTAACCGAGGTTTCACACAATTCACTCATGCACACGGGCTGTCACCCAATAGTTCTACCTCTGATGCCCCTCCTTCAATACATAATTGCTAGTCTTGCCACTGTACCTTTTCTTTTTTGTCCAGCTGTTTATTTTTGTGCCAGAAAGGCCCCCCCCCCATCCCCCCTCCCTTCATGTATTGATTTGGTTATTCATGTATGGCACCACCAGGAAAGGCACCCAGAAAGTCAGCGAAACAAAACAAAACAACCATTGGTACCTTGAAACAAGTCGGCAGCCTTGAGAACCCACCTAAAGAACTCCCCAAACTATGTAAACAACTAATATAAGTCACTAAATTGGCACCAACGTGTTTGCCTCAACTTCCCCACTTGTTTGGGTGGAGGAGGAAGGCAGCCCACGGTCAACCAGTGGCTCGCAGATTTATAATATTGGTCAGCTCTGGGGAGGTTACCCCTTCCAATTCCAGTGCAGAGGCAGTTGAGGCTACTGGTCCCATCAAGGCTTCTGGGTTTTTCTTTCACCCAGCCACTTCTTCCTTTGAAGCCTTTTCCGTAGGCTCCACTTTTTTATCCCATGTGGTAGGCGTAGACAATGGTTCTGCCCCGGGCTCTCTGGTGTGGGTTGTGGGACATGGTTACGTAGTTTAGAGTTGGGCCTTCAGGTCCATTTGACTCTGCAGTTTCTAGTGCTTTCTGCGGAGGGTCTTCTGTTGCAGGGGAAGAGTTCCTTTTTATCATCTTCCCCTGAATGAGTTTGATTTCGGTGCAGCTTCCCCCCCTCCATCCAAGGTTTGATTCAGAGTGCCATTGGGCACTTTGGGGGTCATCTTTCTGGAGGTTGCCTTCCTCTTATGTCCCCCAGTTTACACCTCATTGATTGATCCAGTCTCTTTTGAGTTTGGGTCTTCTCCTTTTTGGATGCATTATGAGGTTCCGGACTGTTCCTGGCTGACAGACATTCCCTTGTTTTTAAATTGGGGTTTGCCACAGTCTTTGTCCCTACATGCTTGAGTGGTGTGAGTTTGGTCTATTTGTACCTTTTCCAGTTTATTGATGTGGTTCTTGAGATATGGGTATCATACAACCACTGTAATTACCTAAGTGTAGTTACAGGATGAGAGCTACCATCGTGGTGTCCCGTCTTCCCAGCACTCTGTTATATAACACTGAAATTATTGACTGTTTTGGCCTCCACCACCACCTCACTTAACTTGTTCCAACTGTCTACCACTTTGTCTAGGGAGCCGGTCGGCCGAGCGGACAGCAGGCTGGACTTGTGATCCTGTGGTCCCGGGTTCGATCCCGGCGCCGGCGAGAAACAATGGGCAAAGTTTCTTTCACCCTATGCTCCTGTTACCTAGCAGTAAAATAGGTACCTGGGTGTTAGTCAGCTGTCACGGGCTGCTTCCTGGGGGTGGAGGCCTGGTCGAGGACCGGGCCGCGGGGACACTAAAGCCCCGAAATCATCTCAAGATAACCTCAAGATAACCTCTGCAAAAGAAAACTTTCTAACATTTTTTGGGGAGCATTTTCGTTTCCTATGTTTAAATCTGTGTCCCGTTGTTTTCTTAAGGTTGCCAGTTTCAGGAAGTAATCTTTGTCAATTTGGTTGATTCCTGTTATTATCTTGTAATTGGTGTTTATTTTGCCTCTTTTTTTTTTTCTTTTAGCTTTGGCATACTTAACACCTATAGTTTCTTTTTATAATTCTTGTTTTCTCAGTTAAGGTTCTGGAGAAAAATCTTAACTGAGGTTTTTCTCTGGTAAAAATAATCCCAATTCCGATCCAAATTTCCTGGAATGCATCTCGAATGCAAATAGATTACAGTACTGTATGGTTCTTTAATATATATACTGTGTTGTACTTGTCCTACATAGCAACTTACACATTTCTCTTGTATCTTTACTAAACATTACATTTTCTATCCCCATTAGGCAAGTTAATAACCAATCATATCCAAAACATTTTACTTAACTAAAATACAGCTATGATGCAGAACGCAATCATATGCCAGGGCTACGAAATGGCTACAAGGCTCACTGGGGCGTCGTATGTGGTTGTCTAGTCCAATGTCAGTCCCTAAATATGTATATGGGAGGGTCATCCAAGATAGATAATAATGTTGATCATTTATGGCATCTGCGTCCAAGAAGCAGAGTGGGCCTTTTACCCAAGAGCAGGGATGGCAGCATCACACCCATAACACCAGTAGTACCCGCATCTCCAAAATTAGGATGCAGAACTTTAAGAACACCAGAAATACAAAGTACTTTCCAAGAGTCTGATAGTTTAAAGCATACAGTGAAATCTCATAAAGAATGTTCCCTAACCAGGAGTTCTGAAGCCGATAATCGGAGCATCAGCGGTAGTCGAGTAACTACTCCAATGTTGCCCGAAGTTCTGCAAGATGAAGTTAAACTTATAGTCTTGTGGAGGCAAGGTAAGAGTCGAAAACTGGTGGCAGCTCCCCTAGAGCAGTTGTGCGAGAGCAATGACCAGCTAATATCGTACCCAGCAGCCACAACTGATCACGAGAGGGAGTATGTCATTGGCTCAGTACAAGATGGGCTTGCTGGTCAAGTTGTGGTGCTGCACAAGACTAAAACAGCACTCTCTGACCTGGTAGGAATACTACAGCAGGAAAAATTGTGCTAAAACTCTTACTCTTTTAACGATGATTGATTATCTTGCGTAGGTAATGGACTCCAGCGGGGGCAGGGGGGCTTTTTTTTTTAATCGGTGAATAATTATAGGTGGTAAGTCTGAAGGTACTGTATGTGCTCAAAACTAATGTTACATTACATTACAAAGAACATTACTGTTGTAAAGCAACACTTACACTTGTAGCCTAAAATAAATTTAGCCTTTGAAGAGCACCATTGACTAGAGTACAGTACTGGTATGCATCATCTTATCCATTATTCCAAGAGCAGTAATCTTCATGAATGGTTTTCATTAGTTAAGAGAATACAGCATTTCAAGCTTTCATACACAACTCTTTTTGTTCATTAGATTTTCTTTGCTCATTTTTTCTCATACGGCTAATTTCACTTTTTTGTTCCAATAGTTGTACATTTAATGAGTCAAATGATCCATTATTACCAGATACACATTGTAGGTTTAAGTCATTCATTTAGCTGTCATATAAATCTAAATTCATGCCATACTTAAATTAGGCCTTAACTGTAAGGCATTGTTTATTTATTTCAAGCTCAATGTGAAAGTTAAGATGGTAAATGGTTATGCAACGCTTAATAAAGTATATTTTAGATTTAACTTTAAAAACATGATTTATATAATTTCATAATTTTAACACATTATCAAAATAGTAATGCATAATAATGTAGTGTATGGCACATACAGTATTCACTTTTTTATATATAAATGTTATACATTTTCTTGGCAACCCATTTGTATTACACTTGTTAACAAAGGACTTATGTTTATATATTTTACAGCGTGTTAATTCTTGTGAATACTGCGTATAGTTGGTGGCTCCAAGGATACTGATGATAAACTTGAGGTTAGCCAATTGAAGTTATTTACAGGAGTGATGACAATGAATGATCTCTATATGGTATTTGGTTTACTTATATTATCGGCCTTGTAAGGAAATATTAGTAAACTGCAATCTTCTCTTTAATTATAGTCTTAAAATCAGTGATAACACAGCACAACGAAATTGCAAAACATTACTTACCCGAGAGAATGGGCTTGGCGCCATCTTTTGATAATTACTTACTTACCCGAGAGAATATTGAGGCCATGCGAGCGAACTGAGCTGACATCCCAGGTATAAGCAGTACCCACTGAACCATGATGAGCTCACTGTGGTTTAGTTAGTAGTGGATTGTGCCTGAGCTGTCCTGGGATGCGGGTTCAGTCCAATTGCATCGCCTCATTGTCGTCATCAGTGGTAATATTATTTATTTATTTTTTCTACGTGGTTTTAATATATAAATTAATAGGTTTCAGGTAACAATGGTGCTTATGAAATGTGTTAAGATAGGGATAATGTTCAAGATATTCTTGAAAAGAAAAAAACACGTGAATAAGCAATTAAACATTGAACAGTAACAGCAAAACTTAGTTGCTGGTTAGATGCACCTTTGTTTCCGTTACTTTCATATAGTTCGCATTTGCCAGTAATGGAACATGAAAGTTATCAACAGACTGTTGCAAGAATACTTTACAGAATTATGATCCGAATTTGTACAATTAATTTACGTAAAGTTATATAGTAACTACTTAAAATGTGTACGATATTTTAGTTTATGAATGAGTTACATAATAAATATCACAGAGGATCAAAGAAGTTGAATGGTTTTAGATGCAGAAGTTGCAAGTAGTAATATAATAGACATTAGATGTACGACTAGACAGTACAGTATATAACATTCACGTTACATAAGTGCCTATTCCAGAGCTGTGTGGCTGGGGGTAATATTGGTGCTCCATGGCCGATATCAACCACAAATATTCGAGTGTTAAAATATATTTAAATAAAAATGACTCACAGTTTGAGGAAAGCTTTATAGAGAGACTAAGGTGAAAATTATATAATGTGTTTACAAAATATATGTCGAGTTATATTACATGTTACACCACTGCAATATCTTTTATTAAAGATATTATTATGATGTACAGTATGCAAGATATTATTGAAGATGTAAGATCTGTATGCAAGATATTATTATTATTATTATTATTATACACAGAGAAATCACATTAACGTGATATCTCAAAGAACAAATCCACAGGAGCTTTACACATGTTGTAGCTCAGTCGATTAGGCAGCGTCTGGGATGCTCCCGGACGCAGGTTCGAATCCTCATCATGGCCCTTGTGGATTTGTTCCAATCCACAGGAGCCTTGATGAGGGTTCGAACCTATGCGCTGATTTGTTAATATACAGTATATAAGTTGCTCACTCTGTGTGAGGGCCAGCTCGGCTCTCTATAACTCGGAGTGGTAAACAGTATGCCATGAACTAGAAAAACACATTTACTAAAGCTAATAAATGGCAATGTTATTGACTTCAATAGTTACTCATACTTTTACTTTTTATTACCGAAAAATATATTTACTATATAAAGCTTTATGCTAGATGTTATCACAGTGACATCTTTTGCAGCTATGCATGTTATTTGCCAAACTCTATACTAACACAACCTATTGTACCTTCTTGTACGTGTATATATATATATATATATGAAAGTGCAGTGGAAGCATTTGCTGCTTAATTTTATCAACATACGCTATGATAGGACTGTTGACTAATAAACATTATTATACTTTAATGTATTAATAATCCTATATCTGTAACTTGACAAGTGTTGTATTCATGTCTTTTTAAGGACTCTACTTCCCTCGTCTTCTCTTTAACTCTTCCGTTAATGAAGGGAAAAAATCAATTACTGTACAGGCAATCGAGGAAAATACTTTTTAAGTCACTTAGGCAAGGGATATGCTACAATCCAAATACAGTGGAACCTCTATTAACGAGCTTAATCCGTTCTGGCACCGAGCTCGTTACCTGGAAAACTCGTCTTAAGAAACAAATTTCCCCATTTAAAATAAAGGAAATAAATTTAATCCGTTCCACTCCCAAAAACATCCATTCTTGTATGACTTTTTTATGTAAATATAATACTGCACATGTAAATATAAATGTTTTGTTGTAGTGTTTTAATGTTTACTTTACCTTATGAAGAGTAGTTGCTGGCTTGAGGGAGACGATGGAGAGGTGGAAAGGAGGAGAGGGGTTATGGTGTGGAAGGAGAATCCACCTCTGAGTCAGGCGGACTCTCTCTTCTTGGGAATTTCACCCAAATTTCATTTCAAATGTCACACAAGGATGCGTTAGACCAGCACCAAATAGAAAACTACGTCGATTACACTCGTTGTGTCAACAATATAATAGTCTTACCACGAAGATACAATACAATGCCGTTCTCCCAAATAGGCAATGTGATTATTAGAGAAAACGGAAATTTCATGGCAAACATGTATACACTCCCCAAGTCGATCGGATAAGACTTGGATTTTATAGAAATATTTGCTCAAATGACGCTTGAGCGCGGTGTTTGGGTGCATTCAAGAGAAAAAACTGTCACGTTCAAGCGACATATACCTGCGAAAGTGATAACACTTTCACAAAGTGATAAATTAATTAAACATTTTCACACACCAGGTTGTCACTGCTTTATCAGGGCAGCTTTTCCAAGAATGCGTTCACTTTTTCAAACATTGCAAACACTTCCCTGATCTCAGTGGAAGAGGCAGCATCCTCCCTTACCTCCTCATTCCCTTACTAATGGTGTAAATTGTTGATGAGGACCTGCCATACTCCCTTGTGAGATCAGTCACACAGAACACAGACACCACACTCATGCTTTGCTATAATTTCCTTCTTCAAATTCACAGTAATTGTGTCTTTCTTCCTCTTGACAACACTATCTTTAGCAAGCAGCTTCTTTGGAGACATCGAGTGTTACAAATTGTAGTCGCAAAACCACTAAAAACCCAAAGAAAAGCTCAAATAAATCCAGAGGGATGCTTGTCGTGTGCGATACAACAACAACACTGGCATCGGAGGCGTCCGAGAATTTGCGAGAACCAGCGAGATGCACAATGTGGTTTTGCTTGTTAATAGAGACGAGCTTGTCAATAGAGACAAATTTGCTGCGAGTGGCTTGCTCGTAACTGGAAAAACTCATTAATAGAGCCACTCGTTAATCGAGGTTCCACTGTATTAGTATATAAAAAATTCTTAAATACAAACTTTACCCATCTTATAAATGCATAATTTTCCTCCCATCCCTAATTGGTAGTGCCTTCTTATGTGGGGGGGATGGGAGCCTTGTGTGCTTTGTTAATATGTAGCGCAGCCATATGTAGTATGGCTGCTCTACATATGTAGTATGGCCATACATATAATATGTAGGGCTTGTCAAGTTCATCACGGTGGACCCAAAGCGTACAGTATTCACTTAAACTGGATTATTATATAGACAACAATTTTGCACTCTACAAAGGTTTAGGCACCTTGCATATTGTTAAGATTGCCTCTACTTCAGAACACAATACAAGAGGCAGGATCAGGTGTCATCCTGCAACACATTTTTATATACACCGGCAACCCTGGAAACACAAACCGAAACTGTCTCTATTTTCCGCTTGTTACAACTTGTAATAAAGATCTTGGATCTTGGCTTAACGTCATCTTGGATTTATGACGTATTAGAATGTTGTTACAACTTGTTATATTGGTTGTTATAACTGGTTAGGTGTTAAAACTTGTTCCAACGTCGTAGTTTTGGTGTGTGTTTGTCGGGAACTCCTTTACTACTATGTGTTGTTCTCGGCTAAATCTAGATTTGCAAATAATCCTGATTTCCAAATAAGTACTTAATTTTTGCCTTTTTTTTGTATTCTTATAAGAAATAATATGTTTTTGCACATTTAGACACACAAACAATGATTTGCTTAAGTTATATAAATAAAAAATATGATAAACCAAAAATATTTTCTTACCTTAATGAAGGCACAAGTATGGCACATCTGTCCTTATACAGTACTGAATTAAAATCATTAGCATTTGACCCAAGAAATTATTTCATGTACAGTAATATTTTTCACAAAAATTATCTTGCCTAACTTTTTCTGGGAAGGGCCAACCAGTAGCTAACTAAACGTAGCCTTACAGTGTTGATCAGACCACACACTGGAAGGTGAAGGGACGACGACGGTTCGGTCAGTCCTGGACCATTCACAAGTCGACAGCCTTATAGTGCTAGTGCACTATGACATGCCTTGCATGCTACAATCTCTTCACTACTTACAAGTGACATTTTACTCAAACTTGCCACATCTACTGGGTGGGGGTTGGGGGGGGGGGGGGTAGGGGGTCAAGTGGACAGCAAAAGTCAACTCATTGTTAGGGTGAACCACCTATAAAATGAGTCATCAAAATACTGTACAGTATGTCATTCTCAAAAAGAATTACTGTATTGAGTTATGAAGTTAGAGATTGGTTGAAACCGCTGATGCCTAAAGGTCTTAACTTCACTTGCTGAAAGCTATTGGAGAGTGCAAGCTTGGTTATGTCCAGGGGGTGCTGTCAAGCCCAATAAACCTGGAAACCCATTTTGTCCAGTCATCACACAGACCTATACCTGGGGGCCTGACGGCTGAGTTGACAGCACTCGGGATTCGTAGCCCTAAGGTTTCGGGTTTGATCCCCGGTGGATGCGGAAACAACTGGGCAGCATTTCTTTCACCCTGATGCACCTGTTCATCTAACAGTAAATAGGTACCAGGGAGTTAAACAGCTGCTACGGGCTGCTTCCTGGGGATGTGTAACAAAAAGGAGGCCCAGTCAAGGGCTGGGTTATGGGGACCCTAAGCCCCAAAATCATCTCAAGATAACCTCAAGGTAACCACATACAGATTGGCTAAGCATCTCTATACATGGCTGACTCCAAATGTACCATGTGCTTTTAGCCTTAAATCGCCAAAGGAATTTATTGACTTACTTTGAGGGACACAGGTATTGAGCACGAGATCTTTTCTAGATGTCGAATCACTGTTCACCAACATATCCATGGATGAGACAATTTAAATGATGGACAAAATTTACCGGGATCCAATTTGCACTTTTCTCAACATCCGAGAATGTGTACCTGAGTAGCTTCTCAAAGCATGTACCAAACAGGCATCCAAATCGTCATTGTCTAGTGTACAAAGAAGTAGACAATATTGCTAAGCGTCTTCCCTCTATTCCCTCTATGTCCTATATGTGAATTTTTACCTGGGTACAATTGAGAAAACTCCTTGTTGACATGGCCCTTGAACCTGACGTCTACGGTAGGTATGTTGATGACATCACCTCTCAGTATCTGACGTGGAATGTTTGGTACAGCTTAAAGAAGCTATCAGGTGAAGTTCTGTGCTTAGTTTTTCTTACGAGATGGAGATAAGAGCAAGTTTTCCTTGCTGGATGTAAACAGATTTGGAAAGGAATAGTGACTTTCACACTTGAGACTACACTAAGGAAACTAACCTTTATGTTAGTAAGGAGTACCCTCGTAGTGTGGTCGACGGCTACATTAATCATGCTTTCTCTCACAGCTACAAAGAGAGGTTAGAGGCATTAAATATGCCAAAATTAGAAGATAGAAGAGGCAATATGATCACTACATACAAAATAGTAACTGGAATCAATAAAATTGATAGAGAAGAATCCCTGAGACCTGAAACTTCAAGAACAAGAGGTCATGAATTTAAACTAACTAAACAAAGCTTCCAAAGAAATATAAGAAAATTCACTTTTTGCAAACAGTGGTACACATTTGGAACAAGTTAAGTGAGAAGGTGGTGGAGGCCCAAACTGTCAGTAGTTTCAAAGCATTATATGACAAAGAGTACTGGGAAGACATGACACCATGAGCATAGCTCTCATCCTGTAATTACACTTAGATAATTACAGCTCCAGTTGGAAGCAGGTTGACTAGCAACTTGGTAGAGTAAGAAAAATCCTTATCAACAATGGATACTACTTCTTCGCAATACATGTAGTTTGCATGAAGGTATATCCTCCTGATGACTGCACAAGTGGTAATGTAGAAAGATGCGTATATGACAATGCACAACAACACATCAACGGTCACGACGTGCCCAAGTCAAGAAGATAACGACGCCGTAAAGGCGGGTGAGGATAAAGGCAAAATAAACAAAGAGGAAAGGAATGTAGGATGGGAATAAAGACAACAGAAGGCGAGCACAAAGCGTCGCTGCAGTAAAGAAAGCGAGGGATGGAGGCAAGAGACGAAGGGCGGGGGCAAAGGCGGTGAAGGAGGCAAGTGCAAATGTGTAGAAGGGTAGAGGAGGTCAAGACAGGACAGGCAAGGTTAGGACAGGGCAAGGTACGTAGACGGCATACGGAGCCTCACAACTGAGACGCTAACACATCGGACTCTGCTGAAGCACCAGCACACCAGCAGGACAATGGAAGGAAGATCTAGGAAGGGCGTGAGGACAAGTCGTGGGAGAACGCGATGTAAGAGGCCCATTAGGCAAGGTGGCAGGGCGCTTGGAAATCGGGACAACGGAGGATTGCTTCCACTTAGTACCGGGGGCAGAGATGTGCGGCAAGGCAGCCTGGGAAGACACAGGGAAGGCTCGCCAAAGAGTTCCGAAGGGTGTTGTCCAGCATCGATTCAAACGCATTGGAGATAGCAGAGGCAGCTGCAGGAGGATGGACATCAACCGTAGAAGAAGCGGAGGAGAGGCGTGACAGACTGTAGAAAGAATTGAGTGACGAGACAGACCAGCACCGTCTCGAGCGCATCCACAACGCGAGCGACAATAGCGTCAACAAGATCGGGACTGAACGGCGGGTGGGAGAAAAGAAGCTTCAGGGGCGAGTGGAATGTCAGTGACAAACGGGTCAGGCACAGGCAAAGGCGGCAGCGGAAGGGGAAGTGGCAGTGACAAGGAACCAGGACAGGATGAGGCAAAGCACAACTGGAGGGCAGAGTGACGACGGGATGAGCCTTAGTGAGCGCCACAACGTAGGAAGGACACCGCTTGAAAGTGATGGCATGATCACCACCACAGTTGGGGCAACAGAGCTTGTCGAACTCACAGTCCCGAGTAAAATGGGAACCAGAGCATTTGCCACAATGGACGTCATTGGTGCAGCCATGGAAGGTATGGTGAAAACCTTTACAATGAAAGCACTGAGTGGGACGGGGAACGTACACCTCCAATTTATGGAAGAAGCCATTAATCCAAACCCGATCAGGGGGAGGGAGTCAAGAAAAGTAGGGAGGGCAGTGCCGGTATCACACAGGCCGCCATCAATTCTATGCATAAATTTTTTGACACCAAAGATCAAAATGTCAGTATCCTGCAGTTGCACCTGGATGTCGTCCGCACTAACGTCAACAACATGCCGGACCACACATCGTACCAAATGGTCACCCTCAGGCGTATAACAACGAACCTTGTAACCACAGATATTAGTAACGTCCGAAAGAATCAAGTCCTCGGAGGAAGCATGGTCCATGACAATTAACACTTTCGCTCACCCCGCGCGCCACCCCTCGACAGGGCGATATGGGCCCCAGCGTGTCACGGAAGCGCGCGTTAATTCCGAAAAGTGTATACTCTCTTCAACTTTGTCACCTCAATTCTCCTTCTACGAGAATAAATTTGGTATCATTGTGTTCGCAATAAAATTCTCTACAGCACTAAATGCATATAAACTCCAAAAGCCCGGCTAATTACCCGCAGCAAACAGAGAAAGTGCGAACGAGTTACCCGGGAGCGCGCAAACGGGATAAAATGTTTTCACTATTTTCACTCTGGTCACCTCAATTTTTGTCCTAGGTCTTTCATTTTGGTCTCAATGGGTTCGTAATAAAATTCTCTAGAGGAACATTAGCATATAAAAAAAAACACCTGGTCACGCTCCAACCGCCGACGAGTTGAAGACGGGCCACGCGTTAGCCGTGAGTGAGCGCTCAGAGGCCTTCCTACTACACTCCCAATTCCCACCCTTTTCAAGCCTTTCTTTCGCAATTTTCTTCCTGGAAGGGCCTTGTTCATGATTACTATCCATCGTGGAGTAAGCGTAGATAGTTTCTAAAGCCGCAGTAAGAAATATAGCCACGGAAAATAGCCGAAATGTTCACACGTTTGAGATGCGAGGGGAGACGACATTGGTCACAACAGTGGAGCAAAGACAATGGGCCCACGGCGTGTGCCAAGCCGCCTGAGGGCCACGAGGCTCAACAAAGGAAATGGGAAGACATCGGCGCACATTTTAAAACCAGTCCCCAAAAAATCGGATACAAACCTGATTTTTGGCGAATTTTTAAAGTGGATGACGCAATGCTGCGTCATCCCCGGCATTACCGCCAGTAAACGGATGACGCAATGCTGCGTCATCCCCGAGCGAAAGTGTTAAGTTCCTGCATTTAATCGGCCTGAAATCGTGCACCTTGAACTTAAAGAACTCGGGAATGGCTCGATAGAAAAAACTGCGTGCTCTACCATTTCCAAAAACAGTCCGATCAGCGGGCGTATCGGCATCAAAAGCGATGATGAACGTACGTAGGCCAGGAGAACTAGTTTGACCAGGAGGGAGTGGAGGGCGAGGAGACAGAGGTTGTGGGGGGTCACAGGGCACTACAGGAAGCAGGCAACGTTTCGCCTCCAATCTATTAGCCTTACTATGATGCTTACTGTCCAGAAAAACACCCTCGGGATCCCCTTCCATGACAGGGTAAACGTCATGACCGGAATGCGTGCCAAGGGTCAATTGGGTCCTGAAAACCCTCAAAGGTATCAGAAATGTCCACGGAAGAAATGCTGCGCGAACCACCATCCATCGCCATGGTTGGCCCAGGAATCCCCCAATGGATACTTAAATGGTTATGTCAAGAGATCACAAAAAAGGCAAGTGAACTGTCATGCTATCTCTGATTACACTACAGAACTGCTCAAACTTATTAAACTACAATACAAGAATTTCTTTTCAGTGGCCCACAAAATGGAGGAAAATGTCCTGAAAGACATAACCGGGAGCAACATTAACTCTACCAATACTAACCACAAGATACAGCTCACCATATACTACACCAGTAAGATGACATAACCGGGAGCAACATTAACTCTACCAATACTAACCACTAGATACATCTCACCATATACTACACCAGTAAGACATAACCGGGAGCAACATTAACTCTACCAATACTAACCACAAGATACAGCTCACCATATACTACACCAGTAAGATGACATAACCGGGAGCAACATTAACTCTACCAATACTAACCACAAGATACAGCTCACCATATACTACACCAGTAAGATGACATAACCGGGAGCAACATTAACTCTACCAATACTAACCACAAGATACAGCTCACCATATACTACACCAGTAAGATGACATAACCGGGAGCAACATTAACTCTACCAATACTAACCACAAGATACAGCTCACCATATACTACACCAGTAAGAAGACATAACCGGGAGCAACATTAACTCTACCAATACTAACCACAAGATACAGCTCACCATATACTACACCAGTAAGATGACATAACCGGGAGCAACATTAACTCTACCAATACTAACCACAAGATACAGCTCACCATATACTACACCAGTAAGATGACATAACCGGGAGCAACATTAACTCTACCAATACTAACCACAAGATACAGCTCACCATATACTACACCAGTAAGATGACATAACCGGGAGCAACATTAACTCTACCAATACTAACCACAAGATACAGCTCACCATATACTACACCAGTAAGAAGACATAACCGGGAGCAACATTAACTCTACCAATACTAACCACAAGATACAGCTCACCATATACTACACCAGTAAGATGACAGCCAACTTATGAAAAAACTCTCCTGACACCAAATGCCTGGTAAGAAACAAATATCATTGTCTTTAAACATTAATAATTTCTGTTGTCAGGGACAGGAAGCCTGTGTACTATACATACTTTAGGCTTGTATCGAGGTTTCCCCTTAAGGTTAAACTATTGACCTTTCCTAAGATGCAACCCCCAACAGTTGCCTAACACTCCCAGATACCTATTTACTGCTTACCGTGTGTTGCTAAGTGAACAAAGACATTAGGCAAGAGGAAACGTGCCCAACTATTTCTGCCCTGCCTGGGAATCAAATCTGGGATTCCCATTGCGATTCGAGAATGAAGCCAACTGTATTACGAACTGTTGGCCCCAACGATCTCATTATATAGGCAAGACATTACCATCTCTTATAAGCTGCCTGACTATTCATGAACAACAAGGATATCTCAACGAATACACGCGAACAGACCATCACTCGCCAATACCGAAATAATCAATAAAGTCGGTGATAATATGAAATGTAAGTTTGACTCAGAATAGGGGTCTACTCCATATCTGAATTAGTGAGCAAAATCTGTCTGAACAATAAAGACCAGTTGAGAAAATTTTAGACTGCATTAAGCGAATTGAGTTTAGAAGTTTAATACAGGTGGATTATTCATTTTATTTTACGGGCAAGTGCCTCCCAAACCCATGAAATCAGGAATAATTATTTTCTTTGTTATTTTGGTTATTATTTATTTTTATAGATACTATTTCTATAGATACTATATTTATAGATACTATACTAGTTTTATTTCCTCTTCTAAATATATATATAAACTGTATTCATATTTAATTTTAAATGTAAAAATGTATCAGTAGCAGAAACTAAACTTAAATTGAGAGCTGCTGCAGTTTCCCACTAGAGAGTATAATGCTAATATATATAGACAAATAGGGAGAGTATATATAACAGAGAGCATAATAACAGAGAGCATAATAACAGAGAGCATAATAAAAGAGAGTATATATAGACAAATAGGTTATTTGAATTAACACACATTTACACACTTTAGACCAGGAAAATATGTCCATTAATATAAAAATACTCATATTAGTATAGTATTCACTCTTTCAAACTATTACAATATATTTCAGAAAGATTAAGATAAGATTTGAATAACTGTACTGTACTGTATCTGCACATGAACGAGTTGACTGAATCACTCTGACCATGGATGAATAACCTGCTACCATTTCCACTACTATACTGCTTGTACTCATACACCATACTCTACGTTGACCAGACCACACACTACAAGGTGAAGGGACGACCACGTTTCGGTCCGTCCTGGACCATTCTCAAGTCGACTTGAGAATGGTCCAGGACGGACCGAAACGTCGTCGTCCCTTCACCTTCTAGTGTGTGGTCTGGTCAACATACTTTAGCCACGTTATTGTGACTTATCGCCTGCACCATACTCTACCACAATTATGGTTTATCTTATACTCTACTCCCACAAATGACTCCAGTCATATTGCTGCATTTATTATCATCAATACTACTGTACTGCATTAATAAATCATTTTGGCACAACCTAAATTTTTTATAGATACAGTATACTGTATTTACTTTTTGTTGCTCTTCGGAATTATTGTATTTATTAGAATGTTTAGTGTTTATTTTGAAGTTAAATCAAATCATAAACAACAAAGTTGCTTCACTCTTACTGTCATTTGTTTTGAATGCAATTATGACAAAGGCCAAGACAAGTAGATTATGAGCTTATGAGCTTAACGCAGTAAGAGCAGCGAGACGACCCGGCGCTCCCATTACCCCCCCACCTGGGTGTGCCCCAGACCCACACAAGAGCAGGCCAGGGATGGGTGTAGCTGCGCCTGCCTGCAGGGATGACGGTCGGCACATGTACAGCTGATCCAGAGACATAGCACCATGGAAAATATTCTGAAAAAATTAAATGTATTAATTTATTTCCAAGAGGCGTTTTAGAAACAGATGTCATCATACCCTCCCCACCTGGTCGTGTATCTTTCCTAAAGGCTTTTTAAATAAACTTGCCAGTTCTAATTTGAGGACCAAACTGAAAGATTAACACAAACAGTTAATTGACTTGAGAATGGTCCAGGACGGACCGAAACATCGTCGTCCCTTCACCTTCCAGTGTGTGGTCTGGTCAACATTAATGCAAACACTTTCGACAATCAATAGCAGTCATTGAATAACAATTTTGAGTCCCCAGCAATATTTTACTAGGATCTAGTGGCCTGGAAAAAACTCCAAATCTTTTTAATGTTTCACCATATCTACAACACAACAACAATTTTATTTAGGTAAGGTACATACATACAATAAATTTTTACAAGGATTGTTTGACTTATAGGTAGAGCTAGTACATACAATGCCTAAAGCCACTACCTGTATTACACAAAGCGTTTCGGGCATGATAAACTTAAATGACAAGCTTAATACTAATTGAGCATAATGAGTAGAATGAAAACAAGAAATGAAAACATAGATGAAAAAGCAGCACAAATACAATTATGTCGACAAACAGCGCTCTTTAAAGAAAAAAACAGACATTGGTTGACAATAGAAGGGTAAGGTAGGTTAAAGGGAATTTATTAGGTATAGCTTCGCTTTTAACTTAAACTGGTTGAGAGAGGTACAGTCTTTAACATGGTTGGGAAGGTCATTCCACATTCTGGGCCCCTTGATTTGTAGAGCATTTCTAGTTTGATTAAGTCGTACTCTAGGAATATCAAAACTGTATTTATTTCTGGTGTGATGCTCATGGGTTCTGATACAACCTTCTATGAAGCTTTTGAGATCAGGATTGGCATTATAGTTTAGCGTTTTATATATGTATAATACACATGAGAGAATGTGCAGTGACTTAATGTCTAACATATTCAGAGATTTAAGTAGGGGTACCGAGTGATGTCTGGGGCCAGAATTGGATATTGTCCTAATAGCAGCTTTGCGTTGAGTAATTAGAGGACGTAAGTGATTTTGGGTAGTAGAGCCCCAAGCACAAATACCATAGTTGAGATATGGATAGATAAGTCACCACCAGTCATCTAGACTTCAAAACTGGCACCCAAAACCATCAACAAGACTGCCGCTCACTGCAACCCTCACGCTTGCATCTCCCCAATTTCTACAATTTCTTTTTAACATAATTAACAATTTAATTATTACTCTATGCATTGCAACATTCTGAGTAATAGAGGAGTATAATTAAGCATATTTGAGTCCATTTACAAGCTTGGAATTAACTTTTTCTGGAAGGGCCCTTTCAGTAGCTACGCCACAGGTGTACCCCACTTGCACATCTATCTCTTTCTCTATCTATATATATCTCTCTATCTATATACAGTATCTATATATATCTCTCTCAAGCAACAGAAGCTTAGGGGATCAGAGATTAACCCTTCCACTTTGCATATCATCTATACAGTATATGATTTTGGTGTAATGAGAGCAGTGCACAAATCATATATGTTTTAGAGTACCACCCAAGATTTAAAAGTCTTGCAAATACACGTGGCTCCCAGTTGCTTTCTCAGGCCTCCAGTAACCTTCCCCAATCTTGAATAAAAATCCTCAGTCCCTCAGTTTCTTTCTAGGGCCTTAGTAAAGGATGAATTCGTGTATGTACCCATTCATAAATCTTATGTATTTAGCACTGAATACAGAAATACTTAATGACCAGTCTGATACAAAGGTCTACATCTACCGCTGCAGGCGATGAGTCACAATAATGTGGCTGAAGTATGTTGACCAATCCACACACTAGAAAATGAAGGGACGACGACGTTTCGGTCCGTCCTGGACCATTCTCAAGTCGATTGTGATGTGTGTCTGCAGATTGTGAGATGTGTCTACATCTCCCATCTGGCCTAGACCTATTAGAGCTTTGCACGACCTTGAGCCGAGCCCTCCCAATTGGTGCTGCAAACTCAAATATTGGTTTCACAGGTAGTGTAAGGATTAATGTGCCAATCACCATAAGCTAAGGGAAGTTACTGAGGAAAGATGACCCAGAAAATAGACTGTTTATTCTCTATCTAATGTTATCTCAGTCTTATAAATTGTTATTCACACTATCATGGAAATGCATGTGTCTCAAACCGTGAACCTCACACATGAGGTTCTATTAAGTCTATTAAGTCTACTATGAGTCTATTATTAAGTCTACTATGAGTCTATTATTAAGTCTACTATGAGTCTATTATTAAGTCTACTATAAGTCTATTATTAAGTCTACTATGCTTACTATTAAGACTGCTCATAATCGCGTGCATAGTGCTACGGCCTCACACATCTGAGGTTCACAGTTCAAGACCCACAACAGTTCAGGTGAATGGAATTTCTCAGTGTTAGTCTTTATGATGTGACATAAAACAATTTGAACTGTAAACTTATAAAATACAAATGAATTAGTAATTGCCGCCGACTCTGCAGGGAGATGTTCAGTTCCTCTACAGCACACACACACAGGATTCTATACAAAGTTTAAAAAGCAACATATTGGGAATGTGATGAATCATGCCTTGAACAACTTCAAGAATGTATAACTTGACAAAATTTGTATGTAATTGAGTTACTAATCAGTGCTCGGGAGCCAATTTAACACCATTTTATTTTCTCGACTCCGCAGGAATAACAGTGCTATGATTATCATCGTTATTGAGTGCTTAATAAATTTACAAACTTACATTTACAAACCTCTGACAGCATACAAAGAATTGTATCTCTGTAAATTCTAACCAAATATTGAAAGAAAAATTAAAAGGGAAAATGTACCTATCTTGAGGTTATCTTGAGATGATTTCGGGGCTTAGTATCCCCGCGGCCCGGTCCTCGACCAGGCCTCCACCCCCAGGAAGCAGCCCATGACAGCTGACTAACTCCCAGGTACCTATTTTACTGCTAGGTAACAGGGGCATAGGGTGAAAGGAACTCTTCCCATTGTTTCTCGCTGGCGCCCGGGATCAAACCCGGGACCACAGGATCACAAGTCCAGCATGCTGTCCACTCGGCCGACCGGCTCCCTGAAGCTATCTCCTAGGATAGCTTCCTAGGAGCTATCTCCAAAACAAATGGCAGGCTATGACATCGCAACATACATGGAATCAATCTGAAGGTTGCAGGGCCGGTCGGCCGAGCGGACAGCATGCTGGACTTGTGATCCTGTGGTCCCGGGTTCGATCCCGGGCGCCGGCGAGAAACAATGGGCAGAGTTTCTTTCACCCTATGCCCCTGTTACCTAGCAGTAAAATAGGTACCTGGGTGTTAGTCAGCTGTCACGGACTGCTTCCTGGGGGTGGAGGCCTGGTCGAGGACCGGGCCGCAGGGACACTAAAGCCCCGAAATCATCTCAAGATAACCTCAAGATAACCCTTCAGGTTTTCAAAAGGGACCTTGTCTAACACTTCACTGTCCTCTCCGACCCAAGTTACCCAGACAGTATTTGATCAATAATCTAGGCTTACACCTTTCTCTAATATCCACACGCTCTCCTCCCTCTCATGCTCATGACCCATCCATTAAATAAGCAAGGCAACATTACACAAGCCCGATGTACACCTCCATTAACATCAAACCATTCGTCTTATAACAACAATAGGATAACAATGATATATACAGTGGAACCTCTATTAACGAGTTTAATCCGTTCTGGCACCGAGCTCGTTACCTGGAAAACTCGTCTTAAGAAACAAATTTCCCCATTTGAAATAAAGGAAATAAATTTAATCCGTTCCACTCCCAAAAACATCCATTCTTGTATGACTTTTTTATGTAAATATAATACTGCACATGTAAATATAAATGTTTTGTTGTAGTGTTTTAATGTTTACTTTACCTTATGAAGAGTAGTTGCTGGCTTGAGGGAGACGATGGAGAGGTGGAAAGGAGGAGAGGGGTTATGGTGTGGAAGGAGAATCCACCTCTGAGTCAGGCGGACTCTCTCTTCTTGGGAATTTCACTCAAATTTCATTTCAAATGTCACACAAGGATGCGTTAGACCAGCACCAAATAAAAAACTATGTTGATTACACTCGTTGTGTCAACAATATAATAGTCATACCACAAAGATACAATACAATGCTGTTTTCTCAAATAGGCAATGTGGTTATTAAAGAAAACGGAAATTTCATGGCAAACATGTATACAATCCCCAAGTCGATCGGATAAGAATTGGATTTTATAGAAATATTTGCTCAAATGATGCTTCAGCGCGGTGTTTGGGTGCATTCAAGAGAAAAAAGTGTGTCACGTTCAAGCGACATAACTTTCATAAAGTGTTATCACAAAGTGATAAATTAATTAAATATTTTCACACACCGGGTTGTCACTGCTTTATCAGGGCAGCTTTTCCAAGAATGCATTCACCTTTTCAAACATTCCAAATACTTCCCTGATCTCAGTGGAAGAGGCAGCATCCTCCCTTACCTCCTCATTCCCTTACTAATGGTGTAAATTGTTGATGAGGACCTGCCATACTTCCTTGTGAGATCACTCACACAGACACCACACTCATGCTTTGCTATAATTTCCTTCTTTAAATCCACAGTAATTGTGTCTTTCTTCCTCTTGACAACACTATCTTTAGCAAGCAGCTTCTTTGGAGACATCGTGTTACAAATTGTAGTCACAAAACCACTAAAAACCCAAAGAAAAGCTCAAATAAATCCAGAGGGATGCTTGTCGTGTGAGATACAACAACAACACTGGCGTCGGAGGCGTCCGAGAATTTGCGAGAACCCGCGAGACGCTAGGAAGCGCCATGTGGTTTCACTCGTTAATAGAGGCGAGCTCGTCAATAGAGACAAATTTGCTGCGAGTGGCTTGCTCGTTACTGGAAAAACTCGTTAATAGAGCCACTCGTTAATAGAGGTTCCACTGTATAGTGTACTCACTCCTCCAGTAAGCCCAAACACTCGCTCCAGGTCAGGTGGCGGCAGGACCTCATAACCCACTATGCTCTCCTTAAAACCTGGTGCATATTCTTCCACTAAACTGAAAATCTGAAAAATTCAAGATCCAATATTAATATTATTAAAACAAACCTTTGTTAATGCCCTGCCTGATGTGCATAATTTACATTCTGCCTCCTGTCTTATACTTTGATCCACTGTATGGAATGTGGTACAGTTAATTATTTGTTAACCCATCTCACAATGGAGGAGGTCTGGTCGAGGCCGGGCCGCGGAGACGTTGAGCCCCAAAATCATGGCAAAGTAACAATTGTTATTGCTAACTACATATAAATTAAATCTTGGAATAGGTAGTAATTGCTCCTCGTGCCTCTCTGAGGAGGCCAGGTTCTGGTTCATGGTCCCTGGTAGGCCTAAGAACTCCATTCACACTGGCTGATGCCAAAGTCTAATATATCCATATCAGCCTGGATAAGCTCCAGGGAGCTGAAGGGGCTCCCACCCAGAAATGCATAATTTCTTCTTACCTTGTTAGCATATTCTGATTTGGTAGCCTCGTCCCAAGGTCGGCCATCGGCAAGAGTGTAGGGAACATACTGAGTGAAGAACAGGGCCACATGGCATCCGGGAGGCGCTAAGGTAGGGTCACAGCTGCTTGGAAGCGTCATCTCTACCATAGGGCTGAGAAGCAGAAATATTTACCAGTAAATTGCAAGAAGATTACTTGAAGCAATTTCTAAACTATCATACTTGATTGAGGTGAAGTGAGAATCCACTGTGTTATCAACTATTTATTTACAGAGGGGAAGGGGGAAAAGGAGAGCTGCCCCAGAGAAGGCCTCGGGAAACAAGAGACAGTAAAGAGAAGTGTCCCACATGAATAAGAGGGACAAAAGACAGTAAAGAGAAGTGTCCCACATGAATAAGAGGGACAAAAGACAGTAAAGAGAAGTGTCCCACATGAATAAGAGGGACAAGAGACAGTAAAGAGAAGTGTCCCACATGAATAAGAGGGACAAGAGACAGTAAAGAGAAGTGTCCCACATGAATAAGAGGGACAAGAGACAGTAAAGAGAAGTGTCCCACATGAATAAGAGGGACAAGAGACAGTAAAGAGAAGTGTTCCACATGAATAAGAGGGACAAAAGACAGCAAAGAGAAGTGTCCCACATGAATAGGAGGGACAAAAGACAGTAAAGAGAAGTGTCCCACATGAATAAGAGGGACAAGAGACAGTAAAGAGAAGTGTTCCACATGAATAAGAGGGACAAAAGACAGTAAAGAGAAGTGTCCCACATGAATAGGAGGGACAAAAGACAGTAAAGAGAAGTGTTCCACATGAATAAGAGGGACAAAAGACAGTAAAGAGAAGTGTCCCACATGAATAAGAGGGACAAAAGACAGTAAAGAGAAGTGTCCCACATGAATAAGAGGGACAAGAGACAGTAAAGAGAAGTGTTCCACATGAATAAGAGGGACAAAAGACAGCAAAGAGAAGTGTCCCACATGAATAGGAGGGACAAAAGACAGTAAAGAGAAGTGTTCCACATGAATAAGAGGGACAAAAGACAGTAAAGAGAAGTGTCCCACATGAATAAGAGGGACAAAAGACAGTAAAGAGAAGTGTCCCACATGAATAAGAGGGACAAAAGACAGTAAAGAGAAGTGTCCCATCAAGGTCCCACCCCCAAGGTGGAATTACCGACCCCGCCCAGGATGCAACCCCCTACAACAATTTGACTACCTTCTAAGTAACCTACTTACTGTTAGGTGAACAGATGCATTAGGTGAAAGGAACTGTGTCAAACCATTTTTGTCCCGCCCGGGATTCGAACCCAGAATTCTCGATTGTGGGTCGAGAACGAACCCGACTGTACTATCCGACACGTTGCCCGAAACACTATGCGTATTAGTGGCTTTAGGTATTGTATTGTATGTACTGTACTAGCTCTATCTATAAATCCAACATTATGTTTGTAAATCAACTATGTATGTACTTTTCCTGAATAAAAATTTTAATTTAATTTAATTGAATTTAATTTAATTTAATATAATTTAATTTAATTTAATTTTACCGGGACCCGTTGATGTTGATAGTTCTCTCTTAGAGTACCTGAGCAACCTGTTAAAACATTCCTTCTTGTTTATTGAAAATTTACAGAGTTTTCGGTGGAAATTTTTTTTAATTTCAAAGCAGTATACAGGCATACCTCAGAATAAGAGTTTAATCCGTTCCTGGAGACGCCTCGCCTTCCGAAAACTCGCATTCCGAAGTTAATTTCCCCATAAGAAATAAAGGGAAATGAATTAATCCGTTCCTGACTACCCCAAAAACCCCACATCAAACTAAATTTTTATACCTAATTTACCTAATTCATCTAAATAAACCTACAAAACTGTGTTCCAGTTATTACTTACCTTGCTGTCGAGTGCTGTAGGCGTATGGAAGATGGGGAGGAGGAGAGGAGTTACTGTTTGGAAGGGGAGTCCCCTTCCATAATCACATCACATAACCCCATGCCTTGTAACACTATGGATACCACTTCTCTTTCTAAATTTTTCAAACCAGCCCCTGCTTGCCTTAAACTCTTTCTTATCTGCATCACTCGTTGCAGGGGTTTCTTTAGAAGGTCTTCGTGCAACACCCTGGCTTTTTCACAAATAATGGCCTCCGAAACACTATCACCCCTCAACTCCTTGTCGTGTATCCAAATTAATAACAACTTTTCCACTTCTTCAAGTATTTGTGGTCTTTGTGCCGTTAATGTTCTTACTCCTTTTGCCACTTTAGCACCCATAATCTTATTTTTCTTCTTAAGTATAGTGCATATTGTTGATGTGGCTTTGTTGTACTGCCTACAAAGTTCAACAACACGTGTACCGTTCTCATGCTTCCGAATGATCTCTTGTTTCTCCTCTATTGTCATCCTCACATGAGCTTTCTGGCCTTTATCCTTACCACTGGCTTTCTTGGGACTCATGGTGAGATATATAATAACAAACTGTATAGACAAATCACCAAAAATCCAACAAAACACTGAAAATCCGCGAGAAGAATTGATGTGGGGGTAGTCACTGAGCGCGAGACAATAATAAACTGAGGGGCGGAGGGGCGACGATCGCCGAACCACCACGCGCTAGGTCGGCTGTACGCGTATCAACAAACTCGCGTCCAAACTCGCCTCCCGAAGTAACCATCGCCTTCCGAGACAAATTTTTGGAGTAAATACACCTCGCCTTCCGAAAACCTCGCATACAGGGACAATCGCATTCCGAGGTACCACTGTATACCTTTATTTAGGATATGTCTGCAGTTTCTTGGGTGTTTATATTTACAATCCATTAGGTGTTCCTGAGAGGCCATATTTACATACACCCCCATGCATATTATTGGGAGATTCCCAGTCCAAGCTGTGTTGGGCTGTGTTGCTTTACCCGCACCACACTTTGTGTTGGCTCTTTGCTGGAAGCTGTAGGTCGAGGCCCTTCACATTCTTGTTGTTGTTCGGTTACTTCTTTAACTGTTTCTAATATTACTTTCTCTCTGGCCACTTGTGCATGGGTTAGCTCCGTATCCTTCTTGCACTTTTCTTTGTATGTAGTCTCTGTTGTGTAGTGGTAAGACACTCGCCTGGCGTTCCGCGAGCGCTTTGTCCTGGGTTCCTATTCTGGCCGGGGAGGATTTACTGGGCACAAATCCTTAACTGTAGCCTACGTTTAACTCAACAGTAAAATGGGTACATGGTTGTTAAACGATTTTTCGTGGGGGTCGTATTCCAGGGAACATAGGATTAAGGGCTTGCCCGAAACGCTATGTGTACTAGTGGCTGTACAAGAATGTAAGAACTCTTGTACATATATATAAATAAATACATAAATAAATAAATAAATAAATAAAAAATAAATAAAATGTTCCTGTATCCTGTGAGACCAACTCCATCTTTTCTGATGAAAGCTCTTTTCCCTGTTGAATTCGCTTGCCATACCTATTGTATTCATTAACATCTGGATTTAATTTAACTTCAAGAGCTATCTTTAATACTTTATTTTCCTCTTCCAGGACTTTTCCTTTAGTTTCTCAGTGATTCTCATCTTTGCATAATTCCCTTAATTGACCTTCCAAGTGCTGTAACTTTGTTTCTCAAGTTTTCATTACTGTTGCTCAAATGTTTCAATACTGTTCATATTCTATCCATATGATTCTTTACAATGATCTCCAGTTCTGTCAACCTGTTGTCAAAACCCCTCCTGCTGATATTTTCCTCGCCAAAACCATAACAATTAATCTCTTCTGTTTTGTCCTTCCTCACGCTGGCGGCCATCTTTGTTTTGGTCACCATGTGCTCCCACACTATTTCAAAAACACCATTTCTGTTCTCTCTAACTTTTTGGGGCTTCTGTCTGTTCAGCAGATATTCACACACACTTGTACACCATTTCACTCTGATATTTCTTGTTTATCCCACCCAAAATTAAAAAAAAACACTATACTCCCATGCCCTCAACCCTACGACAACAACAATAACAACAACACTATAATATAAATCATAAAGGATATAAACACGTGTAATTACAGTATGAGTTACATCAGAAAATATCAGTTTAAAAGCAAATGCCAACTGCAACAGTATAGCCTTACTTATCTGATATATGACCAGCAGAAGCCTGCAAGTAAGCTTCATGCAAGAGCTCCGTTTTCTCACAGTTGAAGTGGATGGTGCAGCGGTGATGCGGCATGGCTGTGTTCTCACTATTATTGGGGTTAGCTCTGAAGTTGGGCAGGGACTTCAGAGCAACTGGAAAACATCGAACAGAAAATGGTTATATCTTTAATTACCTTATAATAACTCAAGAACTAGAACTCCATTCACTCGTTTTAATTAGCCTAATTACATAAATTACATAAACCACAAAATTACAAATGCCTCTTACCATTAATTTTACAAACAGGGGATGAATAGTCAATACTCTTAACAGCTGCTTCAAATTCTGGAGTTAATGAGCCATTTGGAAGTAGTTTCAGGAAAGTTGTGTTTGCAGTTGCATTTGAAAGTACTGTCCGAGCATAAAGTTGAGAGCCTTCCTCCGTCTCAACCCCACGAGCTTCGTTGTTGTTACCTAGCAGTATACACTTCACTTGCTGAAATATTTTGCATTATTAGCCTTGAAATTATAACAGCACATAGAACTGACCACGACACAGTTACAAATGAATATCCGAGCTAATTCATATTTGTTGCATATAAAGTGGAGCCTCGAGTGACGAGCGGCTCCAGTTACGAGCATTTCAAGTAACGAGCAAGCCACCCACAGAAAGCATGTCTCGACTGATGAGCTTTTCCTTGATTAACGAGCATTCCCGCTGGTTCTCGGACACCTCCGACAACAGGAGGTTGTTTCACAAGACGAGTTTTCCACATGACGAGCTCGGTGCCGGAACGGATTAAACTCGTTAATCGAGGCGCCATTGTATTTATAAGTACAGTCGCTAATTTCTAGCAAACAAACTACTTTCTTCTGAAGAAGCAAGAAAAATGTATACCAAGTACAAATCTTAGAAGTTTTAGAAGTAAATACAACTATTTTTTTTTTTTTTTTTTTTTTTTGAGATATATACAAAAGTTGTTAGATTCTTGTACAGCCACTAGTACGCGTAGCGTTTTGGGCAGGTCCCTGGAATACGATTCCTGCCACGAAGAATCGTTGTTACAACCAAGTACTCATTTTACTGTTGAGTTAAACAGAGGCTACAGTTAAGGGTTTGCGCCCAGTAAATCCTCCCCAGCCAGGATACGAACCCTGACAAAGCGCTCGCGGAACGCCAGGCGAGTGTCTTACCACTACGCCACGGAGACTAAAGTCTTACCACTACGCCATGGAGACTAATTTGAAGTCGTTGACTCGGTTACTAAACACAGGAGAGAAAACAATGTTACAGGATCTCGGCCAGATAATGCCGGGGCTACAAGATACCAATAAACAAACTAGCAATAAGGAAAGTCTACCAGAAACTGATATACAAAAGGCATCTTAATTATTCGTTAGAGGCGCCACTGTATGGATTTCTCTTCCTAATTAACAGTATTACTTTCACATAATATAACTGAATTACACATACAAGTAATACTCTCCTGTAACAGTCATGGTATTTATAGTCATGGTAATGTTTTAAAGACAAATTAATAAAATCAAGTTAGAATTATATGTTATTCCTTTACCTGATACCTAATCAGGAATCTAGTGATTTAAGTGCAGAAAATTGATCCCATATATCAAGGGAAGTCAAGTAACCTTGAGCATTTGTGTAAATTCGTCCAAAGCTTTGACCTGGGCTCTTCTGAGTCAATAATGGCTTCCATTTTGGCAGTCTGATTTTAGCAGACTGATTGCAAGCATATCTATCTTCATGAATGTTTTTCTTTAACATTATTTCAGCTTTTGAGGAGACCAAGATCAAGGTGAAGGATATACACAATGTGTACATGAAAGCTTACAGAGTTTCAAATTACAGCTTTTTAAATGCTCCGTTTGGTGCTGGGAAGATTGTTTCCCGGGTTCAGCTCTAGCTGTGATATTCTGATAAAAGTTACCCAGGAGTTTGGTGCTGGGAAGATTGTTTCCCGGGTTCAGCTCTAGCTGTGATATTCTGATAAAAGTTACCCAGGAGTTTGGTGCTGGGAAGATTGTTTCCCGGGTTCAGCTCTAGCTGTGATATTCTGATAAAGTTACCCAGGAGTTTGGTGCTGGGAAGATTGTTTCCCAGGTTCAGCTCTAGCTGTGATATTCTGATAAAAGTTACCCAGGATTTTGGTGCTGGGAAGATTGTTTCCCGGGTTCAGCTCTAGCTGTGATATTCTGATAAAAGTTACCCAGGAGTTTGGTGCTGGGAAGATTGTTTCCCGGGTTCAGCTCTAGCTGTGATATTCTGATAAAAGTTACCCAGGAGTTTGGTGCTGGGAAGATTGTTTTCCGGGTTCAGCTCTAGCTGTGATATTCTGATAAAGTTACCCAGGAGTTTGGTGCTGGGAAGATTGTTTCCCAGGTTCAGCTCTAGCTGTGATATTCTGATAAAGTTACCCAGGAGTTTGGTGCTGGGAAGATTGTTTCCCGGGTTCAGCTCTAGCTGTGATATTCTGATAAAAGTTACCCAGGAGTTTGGTGCTGGGAAGATTGTTTCCCAGGTTCAGCTCTAGCTGTGATATTCTGATAAAGTTACCCAGGAGTTTGGTGCTGGGAAGATTGTTTCCCGGGTTCAGCTCTAGCTGTGATATTCTGATAAAGTTACCCAGGAGTTTGGTGCTGGGAAGATTGTTTCCCAGGTTCAGCTCTAGCTGTGATATTCTGATAAAGTTACCCAGGAGTTTTTCTATCCTAATTACCTTCTTAGGGAGGAATTATTGGAAGCAAGAGTAAGTAATTATCAAATGAAGGCACCAAGCCAGGGAGACTATGTAGCAATAGAAGCAAGAGTGAGTTAATTATTATCAAAAGAAGGCACCAAGCCAGGGAGACTATGTAGCAATAGAAGCAAGAGTGAGTTAATTATTATCAAATGAAGGCACCAAGCCAGGGAGACTATGTAGCAATAGAAGCAAGAGTGAGTTAATTATTATCAAAAGAAGGCACCAAGCCAGGGAGACTATGTAGCAATAGAAGCAAGAGTGAGTTAATTATTATCAAAAGAAGGCACCAAGCCAGGGAGACTATGTAGCAATAGAAGCAAGAGTGAGTTAACCCTTAAACTGCGCATGGCGTATATATACGCCCTGAGTAACATGTCCCATGGTGCGCATGGCGTATATATACGCCATAGGGTGCCAGGCCTGATTCAAATGGCCCGCGGCTACACGGGGTTCACAGTAGCTTCCTCAGGGCTCTTGTAAACAGATGCCATTTTAAAAAAAAATCGTGGGCAATATTCTCAGGTGTGAGAGGCACAGTACTGTTGGAGCAACCAAGGCCGGCGCACGCAGCATGAGCGAACAGCATTGATGTTCAGCTTGTGCCCACAGCATCGCCGAAAAATGTCAAAATAAATATATAATTGTTATTATTTAGCGATGACAATATTACAGATGACCAATGACTGTGATATAAATAACCAGGGTTGTGATAATAGCAGGATTGTTGTAATAATTAGCGCTGTGTGAGGAGTGATGCTGAGAGACGGAGGGAGACAGCATCGTTTACTGACTGTGTGGCTACCTGTTATTGTTTGCGTTCACCATACCAGGTCAGTGGTTCTCTATGGTGAACACAAATGTAGATACTTATATATAATGTGTGTATTAGTGTAATAACAGCAAAAGGATTATGCTGGGAGGAGCCATATGGGTGACGGAGGTGACGTCGTCTGCACGATTTCTCTAGCTGTTTAGAGGGTGGCCACTATGCTCTTTGGGCGCTCTACAAGCTTAGGTGTACAGTTACGGTGCATAAAACATGTAGATATTTATATATAACGTCTGTATATAGTGTAATAACACCACAACTGGTATTGTTGGGGGAGAAAGTTTAGTGCGTGTGACCTTGAAAGAGTGAGGGAGCCGCCAGCCGCCATCTGTGTATAGCGACGACTCTTAGTGCCTGAACTAACTATATCAGCTTAGCTGTACAGTTGTGGTGAACAAAATATACTCATACTTATATATAACGTCTGTATATAGTGTAATAACACCACAACTGGTATTGTTGGGGAGAAAGTTTAGTGCGTGTGTTGAGGGAGTGGCAGTGAGTGGCTGGCTGGTGTGTGGCGGTAACTCCTCGTTGCTTTTCGACTCTCAATACCAACTTAGTGGTTCGTTATGGTGACCAAAACATGCCAATACTTATATATAACCTGTGTATAGAGTGTAATAGCAGCAAAACTATTTGTTTATTGTTTTATAAACATAATAATTGAATCACTAATACGCACATCATACTTTTGAGTATAGCGATTATTAACCACTTTTATTATATAAATATATTACAATACACACTATTGAATAATATTACTGCAAAAAAACTAAGAAAAAATCAATCGGAGACATTGAAACAATTAGGTAATAATATCTTTGTGGCAACTCCCATCTGTCAACGCGGGTGACGCTGACCGGGTCTGACGACCGCTCTGTCAACGCCCACTTTTTGCCAGACTTCCTCGGTCAATTGCGCCCAAAATATGTCACCTACGATTTTTTTTTTATTTTTTCCGTGCTCAGGGGACACAAATTAACATGTTTAGAAGACGAAAAAATTTTTTTGAATTTTTTTTTTTCTTGCGCACAGGGGTGTAAATGTCCATATGACCCCTGAGCAGTGTAAGGGTTAATTATTATCAAAAGAAGGCACCAAGCCAGGGAGACTATGTAGCAATAGAAGCAAGAGTGAGTTAATTATTATCAAATGAAGGCACCAAGCCAGGGAGACTATGTAGCAATAGAAGCAAGAGTGAGTTAATTATTATCAAAAGAAGGCACCAAGCCAGGGAGACTATGTAGCAATAGAAGCAAGAGTGAGTTAATTATTATCAAAAGAAGGCATCAAGCCAGGGAGACTATGTAGCAATAGAAGCAAGAATGCATCAGAGATATGAACAGATACATACTGTTAACATTGTAAACAATGTTCATTGTACCACTAATACTTAAGGAATCATACTTCTACTTCACTACATACCTGGTTAGTGTAGAGTTGTGCCCCAGCTTCAGTGGCTGCTTGAGCCATGGCTTGAGTGACGGCTCCCATGCCTCCTTCGGGATAACCCCAAGCACCTCGCACACCAGATACTTGAGCCATCACGTGATGTAATAGCACATACCTTGTAAAGTAGATTTAAATATGGAAGAATTAAACTTTCATTACTGTATCAAAACTGCATGTCTTTGTACAGCACTCTACTGGATTTTGAGCCTAAAATAAAATACTGTACACAGTGTATAGATTATTTGGACATGAGACTGCAATCAGGCAGGAAAGACATACAGTATGATGTTGCAAGGGATTTTCAAGCCTCCTTGCAGGCCATATTGTAGTGAGGAAGTTGTTGCAGAAATTAATCATTTCAGCCCAAAAGAGAATGTCAAGAGGTAAATCCATAAAAATGAAAATCCTGTACTGTACTTAACAACACCAATCATCACAAATAAAAGCTGTCAATAGTAACCACTGACTAACTGGACTACCTCATCAACCCAACTGACTGTTACCAGGTAACAGTAGAGTCTACTGACCGAGCCAGTCCACACACGGGGGCCTGGTAGCCGGGTGGATAGCGCGCAGGACTCGTAATTCTGTGGTGCGGGTTCGATTCCCGCACCAGGCAGAAACAAATGGGCAAAGTTTCTTTTACCCTGAATGCCCCCTGTTACCTAGCAGTAAATAGGTACCTGGGAGTTAGTCAGCTGTCACGGGCCACTTCCTGGTGTGTGTGTGTGTGTGTGTGAAAAAAAAAAAAAAAAAAAGTAGTTAGTACATAGTTGATTGACAGTTGAGAGACGGGCCGAAAGAGCAAAGCTCAAGCCCCGCAAACACAACTAGGTGAATACAAAGCGTGACTGTTGCCAGGTGTATGTAGCGAGAAAGATGGGACCAATTTTTAATGAAGTTTGCCTCGTGTCTTCTTAAAACTTTTGTTTCATGTAATTACTTAAGTGTAGCTACAAGATGAGAGCTATGCTCATGGTGTATCATGTATTCCCAATAATCTTTGTCATATAACAGTTTGAAACTACCGACGGTTTTGGCCTCCATCATCTTCTCACTTAACTTGTTCTGACTCTCTACCACTCATAGACTATCACAGTGAAGTGGTCACAGTACTGTGTACGTTTATGGGGGATCCTGAACAGCATGGGTTCAAATCCAGGTCGGGTCATTTAGAGTTCTTAGTGATCTATGGCTTGCACATTCATGCAGCCTTTCGCACATTATTATTTTAGGGAGGCTGGGCACGTCTCACATACAATATCTGGGCCGAGTAAGTGGGTTAAGACGGTCATTCCCAAGTGAGGGGCAATCTTCAGGTAGGCTGGTGGAAATTTAAACTAATTATGAGATGCGGCAAGATCCACATCGGCAGAAATGACTAGACACCTGCAGTCCTTCACACAATTTCTGGCATTAATGCAGTTTTTGCACTTTCTATTTTGTAAACAGTGTAAACACCTTTTAAGTCAGTGTAGGTAGTTGGAACAAGTTAGGTGACAAGGCGGTGGAGGCCAAAACCGTCAGTAAATGTAATTTCAAAGCGTTATATGACAAAGAGTACTGGGAAGACGGGACACCACGAGTGTAGCTCTCATCCTGTAACTACACTTTAGTAATTACTCTGTTTATGAAAAAGAACTACAGGTTTTTTTTTCCTTAGCATGAATCTATGAGGGTCTTCTCTACGATTTTTGTTGATTGAAACTATATTTTGCCTTTCTCCAGATATCTACTAAGATCCCAGAAAAATCAACTGAAGTGGAATTCTTAGCTCAGGTGCACATTTTCAAAACCCAAGGTGAGACTACTTTACTGACCTGGCTCCTTGAGCATTTTTTATACTTAATCTCTAGTATGTCTGTGACTAGAGATTAAGTTACTTCTGTGTACTCTATGTTACTCTCTGAACTCTATATTGTGTCTGGTTCTCTGAAAACCTCATTTTGCACCAACACACCTTGGAACTGCTCATTTAGTGAGTCACACATATACGTTGTCATTTCCTGTGATTCTGTTCTCAACTTCTGGATTTTATCCTTTATACTTAATTACATTATAAAACTTTATACTGTAGAATGGGTCACAGAAAATAACGTGATGTTTAATGAGGATAACCTCCAATTACTGTGCCATAGAAAAAGCTAAAATATCAAAGCAGAAACCACATAGAAAGCATAGTTAAATCATATTATTGAAAGAAAAAGCAATGTAAAATATTTGAGTGTCATCATGTCGGAAGATCTTACTCTTAAAGAACACAACAAAGTTGGTGTCACTAGCACAAGAAAAATGACAGGTTAGATAAACAAGAGCCTTCCAAACAAGATATGGCAAGTCAGTGATGATACTTTTCAAGACATTAGTGCTCTCTTGAGTGGAATATTGTTGAACACTATCAGCCCCATTCAAAGCTGGAGAAATTGCTGCCCTGGAGAGCATGCAAACATCTTTTATTCCACTCAATAAAACATCTAAATTATTGGGAATGTCTAAAAATTGTAAATCTTTATTCCCTAGAGCACAGGTGGGAGAAATAAATAATAATTTACACTTTGAAAATATTAGAAGGACTAGTTCCGAATCTGCACACAGAAATAACACCACATATGACACCACACACATTAAATATGCCAAACTAGAAGACAGAAGAAAAAAAGGGGATATGATCACCATGTACAAAATAGTAACAGGAATTGATAAAATTGATAGAGAAGATTTTCTGAGATCTGGAACTTCAAGAACAAGAGGTCATAGATTTAAACTAGCTAAACAAAGATGCCGAAGAAATATAAGAAAATTCCCTTTCACAAACAGAGTGGTAGACGGTTGGAACAAGTTAGGTGAGAAGGTGGTGGAGGCCAAAACCGTCAGTTGTTTCAAAGCGTTATACAACAAAGAGTGCTGGGAAGACGGGACACCACGAGCGTAGCTCTCATCCTGTAACTACACCTCAGGTAATTATACTTAGGTAATTACTCAGGTAATTACATGAGACCAGAAGGCATGCCAGGATGTGCACAATAGTCCCACTGAAAAGCAGAGGTGCAATAGGCCTGCTAAGAGAGATCTATATCAACATCAATGCCTCAAGACTTTACATCACTCTTCCACTACACATACCGGACATAACTGGCCGACCTCTCGCAGTGTTTAAAAAAGAACTCGACAAACTCCTTCAGAGTATAACTGATCAACCAGGCTGTGACTCGTACGTCATGATGTGAGTAGCTGCATCGAACAGCTTGGTTGACCAGACCACCAACCAGGCGGCCTAGTCAGAGACTGGGCCATGAGGGTGTTGATCCTCGGAACTATTGACAGGTATATGACACGCATCATATATCTGAAATCCATAAAAATTATGGATTTTTTATTCATTCATAAAAAATAAATACATGAATTCATAATGAATAAAGGCATTCATAATGAATAAGAGAATTCATACACAAGACATGTACAATACATAAAGCTGTTAATATGCAGAGCATTTTGAGGATAATGTAAACATAATTAGGATATTTATTTACAAGTTTAATGTAGTAATACTTAAATAAAAGGCTAAAATATTTGAATAGTTTGAGAGAATTAGCAAATGATTCAACAAATTTTAAGTGACATTTAGAAACTTCCATTTTCTAAAAATTACCTAAAAATTGACATTGAAATTGAAATAAGTTTATTGAGGTAAAATACACACAAAGGGATGAGGTAGCTCAAGCTATTCTCACCCCGTTCAGTACATCGTGTTAATACATACATAGACACACATCACAAGCAATAAACGTATTACCGAACATTCTGAGAGATAAACATATACATTTCCTCCTTTACACAAGTAGTATGGAATCAGACGTACACACAAATACTTTTATGACCTAGGTATACTGTATAGACAACCTAAAAATTGTAAGTCATTTGCTTGGGTTACTTTAGAGTGGGCATGGTGCTGTCACCTGGTGGTGGTAGTTGGAGGAGTTGAGCTGGCGATCCAGCCAGTAGTTAGTAGCATGGTGCTGTCACCTGGTGGCAGTAGTTGGAGGAGTTGAGCTGGCAACCCAGCCAGTAGTTAGTAGCATGGTGCTGTCACCTGGTGGCAGTAGTTGGAGGAGTTGAGCTGGCGACCCAGCCAGTAGTTAGTAGCATGGTGCTGTCACCTGGTGGCAGTAGTTGGAGGAGTTGAGCTGGCGACCCAGCCAGTAGTTAGTAGCATGGTGCTGTCACCTGGTGGCAGTAGTTGGAGGAGTTGAGCTGGCGACCCAGCCAGTAGTTAGTAGCATGGTGCTGTCACCTGGTGGCAGTAGTTGGAGGAGTTGAGCTGGCGACCCAGCCAGTAATTAGTAGCATAGTGCTGTCACCTGGTGGCAGTAGTTGGAGGAGTTGAGCTGGCAACCCAACCAGTAGTTAGTAGCATGGTGCTGTCACCTGGTGGCAGTAGTTGGAGGAGTTGAGCTGGCGACCCAGCCAGTAGTTAGTAGCATGGTGCTGTCACCTGGTGGCAGTAGTTGGAGGAGTTGAGCTGGCAACCCAGCCAGTAGTTAGTAGCATGGTGCTGTCACCTGGTGGCAGTAGTTGGAGGAGTTGAGCTGGCGACCCAGCCAGTAGTTAGTAGCATGGTGCTGTCACCTGGTGGCAGTAGTTGGAGGAGTTGAGCTGGCGACCCAGCCAGTAGTTAGTAGCATGGTGCTGTCACCTGGTGGCAGTAGTTGGAGGAGTTGAGCTGGCGACCCAGCCAGTAGTTAGTAGCATGGTGCTGTCACCTGGTGGCAGTAGTTGGAGGAGTTGAGCTGGCAAGCCAGCCAGTAGTTAGTAGCATGGTGCTGTCACCTGGTGGCAGTAGTTGGAGGAGTTGAGCTGGCGACCCAGCCAGTAGTTAGTAGCATGGTGCTGTCACCTGGTGGCAGTAGTTGGAGGAGTTGAGCTGGCAAGCCAGCCAGTAGTTAGTAGCATGGTGCTGTCACCTGGTGGCAGTAGTTGGAGGAGTTGAGCTGGCGACCCAGCCAGTAGTTAGTAGCATGGTGCTGTCACCTGGTGGCAGTAGTTGGAGGAGTTGAGCTGGCAAGCCAGCCAGTAGTTAGTAGCATGGTGCTGTCACCTGGTGGCAGTAGTTGGAGGAGTTGAGCTGGCAACCCAGCCAGTAGTTAGTAGCATGGTGCTGTCACCTGGTGGCAGTAGTTGGAGGAGTTGAGCTGGCAAGCCAGCCAGTAGTTAGTAGCATGGTGCTGTCACCTGGTGGCAGTAGTTGGAGGAGTTGAGCTGGCGACCCAGCCAGTAGTTAGTAGCATGGTGCTGTCACCTGGTGGCAGTAGTTGGAGGAGTTGAGCTGGCAAGCCAGCCAGTAGTTAGTAGCATGGTGCTGTCACCTGGTGGCAGTAGTTGGAGGAGTTGAGCTGGCAACCCAGCCAGTAGTTAGTAGCATGGTGCTGTCACCTGGTGGCAGTAGTTGGAGGAGTTGAGCTGGCAAGCCAGCCAGTAGTTAGTAGCATGGTGCTGTCACCTGGTGGCAGTAGTTGGAGGAGTTGAGCTGGCAAGCCAGCCAGTAGTTAGTAGCATGGTGCTGTCACCTGGTGGCAGTAGTTGGAGGAGTTGAGCTGGCAAGCCAGCCAGTAGTTAGTAGCATGGTGCTGTCACCTGGTGGCAGTAGTTGGAGGAGTTGAGCTGGCAAGCCAGCCAGTAGTTAGTAGCATGGTGCTGTCACCTGGTGGCAGTAGTTGGAGGAGTTGAGCTGGCAAGCCAGCCAGTAGTTAGTAGCATGGTGCTGTCACCTGGTGGCAGTAGTTGGAGGAGTTGAGCTGGCGACCCAGCCAGTAGTTAGTAGCATGGTGCTGTCACCTGGTGGCAGTAGTTGGAGGAGTTGAGCTGGCAAGCCAGCCAGTAGTTAGTAGCATGGTGCTGTCACCTGGTGGCAGTAGTTGGAGGAGTTGAGCTGGCAAGCCAGCCAGTAGTTAGTAGCATGGTGCTGTCACCTGGTGGCAGTAGTTGGAGGAGTTGAGCTGGCGACCCAGCCAGTAGTTAGTAGCATGGTGCTGTCACCTGGTGGCAGTAGTTGGAGGAGTTGAGCTGGCAAGCCAGCCAGTAGTTAGTAGCATGGTGCTGTCACCTGGTGGCAGTAGTTGGAGGAGTTGAGCTGGCAAGCCAGCCAGTAGTTAGTAGCATGGTGCTGTCACCTGGTGGCAGTAGTTGGAGGAGTTGAGCTGGCAAGCCAGCCAGTAGTTAGTAGCATGGTGCTGTCACCTGGTGGCAGTAGTTGGAGGAGTTGAGCTGGCGACCCAGCCAGTAGTTAGTAGCATGGTGCTGTCACCTGGTGGCAGTAGTTGGAGGAGTTGAGCTGGCAAGCCAGCCAGTAGTTAGTAGCAGCCCTTTGTTTGGTAATTAACAGTGTTGCCAAGTAAGGGCACACATGAGCCCATATTTATGAACTGACTGATCCCAGATGATCATTTCTAACTGATTGGTAAAGTCTTCTAATGACCTTTGGCATAATATTACCTTACAATGAAGCTTGAAATTCCCTGCAGTGCTGTGTTGTGTTGTGCGTTGCTGCTTCCTGACTGTGCACTATCTGATGTCTAAGAAGCAACCAAATGATATAGGTCAAGAAGCAATAAGCAAGCAAGAAGCAGAAGCAGACACATTAATTCAAAGTGTAATTTTTTTAAATGAAACAATTTGCGTGTTCTTACCCACTTCCAGGGGTATTTGGGCTCATCATAGTGCCAATGACACTGTCTGTGGCTAATGTGGCCTTCAGCGGCTCAGACTCTAACCACTGGTCGAGGATCTTGGTTGCGGGTGCCGTCACCAGCTCATAAAATTTAGGAAAATCTTTCCCTAATATTGAGGCTAGAGAGCAAAGAACATTTAGATAAATATTTTTTAAACACTTGCAAATATGTATAAATAAAATGTACACAAAATACTGTGTTACAATTTGAATTAACCCTTTGGTAAACCTAAAACTACCAGTGAAAATATTGAGGCAACAATAGGTCAGAATATTGAGACAACAGTGAATGGGTATGAAGATGCAGAAATCTATGCGAATAAAGACAGTTAAGGAGAAAATAGTAAAAGAACTGCAGGAAGGTCAAAAGGAATTGATAAAACACCTTATGGACTTCAGACAAACAATAAATCATATAGGCATATATGATTTGTCATATATGCCCCGTGGTCATCCGAGAGACTCTAGAGGATAATCAGACACTCTGGGGAATACGGTGAATGCACTCAAGAGCTCAGGATAATGATTCAGATGCTATAGAAACAAATTTATCTGAGGGCCACTATTTCTCTAATGGTCTCCACAAGGACAGTAAGCTGGCAAAGTATGTTGACCAGACCACACACTAGAAGGTGAAGGGACGACGACGTTTCAGTCTGTCCTGGATCATTCTCAAGTCCACTTGAGAATGGATCGTCCTGGACTATTCTCAAGTCGACCATCGACTTGAGAATGGTCCAGGACAGATTGAAATGTCGTCGTCCCTTCACCTTCTAGTGTGTGGTCTGGTCAACATACTTTAGCCACGTTATTGTGACTCATCGCCTGCAGTAAGCTAGCAGATTGTCAAAGGTTACCCCATTTGTCCTCATGATTTTTTAAGCTGGATTTTAAAATTCCGCAGTGTTTTTATATTTACAGCTATGGCAGGGAGGCAGCTCCTTGGGCTTATAACTATATGAGTGAAAAAGCTTCTCATATATTCTGTCCTATATTGTGGCTTGTTGAGATTTACACCATTGCTCCTTGTTTATGTTAAATCTGACCTTTGGAAGAGTTGTCTGGATCAATATTTACTTTGCCCAAAACACTATGCGTGCTAGTGGCTTTACAAGAATGTAAAATCAACTTCATTTCTATGTTCTCTCTTAACCCCCAACGTACCTTCTTGTATATAAATAAATAAATAAATAAATAATCCTCCAATTGTTCAATATTTTAAAAGGGAAGATGAGATCTGCCCTGTCATGTCTGGGTTGAAGTGTTGTTAGTCCTGTGGCCCTCAACCTTTCTTGCTATGAGAGTTAACTGATTTCTGAAATGATTTTTGTTGCCTGGTGTTAAACTTTCTCTAAAGCAGCTATGTCTTTCTGAAGATGAGGTCTCCATGCTTCAATACAATAATCCAAGTGAGGGCACGACAGAGATTTACACAGTTGAATGCCCACATTCAAATGCCCACAGGCGCGCAAGTCTTCAGCTACCAAAGACACTGTAAGGGTGGGAACCTGCACATGCAGCTGTACACGGCCAACATTCCTAGGAAGCACAGGGGCAAACAAGCATGCATCAAGGTGCTCAAGACCACCCCCTAGGTAAACCTGCAGAACAGCAGAAGTTTCTTGCCATTCAAGCGTGTGGGTCCGAAAGAACCCATGCCACACCCCCAATGAAAAAAATGGGCAGTCTGCCAGCCAGGAAGACTCCAGAACACCCAGTAGGCATCCATCACCCAAACGTACCCAATACGGGGCAGAAGAACCGAACTCAAAAGAGGACGGATCCACGACAGAGGCAGAATCCGGGTCTCACAGAAGATAAGCAGCAAGTGCCTCCGGAACCTCCTTGGGTGAGATCCAAGAAGCAGAAAACCTCCGGAAGGAAGGAGCTGAAGAACCTAAGGACATCCAGAACTGAACCTGTTTGATACCTGCTTGATGGGGTTCTGGGAGTTTTTCTACTCCCCAAGCCCGGCCCGAGGCCAGGCTTGACTAGTGAGAGCTTGGTCCACTAGGCTGTTGCTTGGAGCAGCCCGCAGGCCCACATAACCACCATAGCCTGGTTGGTCTGGCACTTCTTGGAGAAAACTATCTAGTTTTCTCTTGAAGATGTCCACAGTTGTTCCAGCAATATTTCTTATGCTCACTGGGAGGATTTTGAACAACCGTAGACCTCTGATATTTATACATTGCTAACCGGTTGTTTATACAACCGGTTAGACCCAAAGCTAACCAGGGAGATCAAAACACTGAAACCCCTGCGACATGTACAATCACGGGGACCTAGCAGAGGGCCACCAAATTATTATAAGTGGTCCAATAGCCATACCAGGCAGAACCCCCCCCCACCAGGCAAAGTGAACAAAAAGAAAATAAAAAACCCACAAAAGTACAATGTCCCCAGAGGATACAGGAACCGGCTGCTGCGCAGGGAAGCTGACTGTGCCACACCTTTATGCCCCAACCAGCAACAATACCACTCACTACCCAAGGGCCAAACAAGGGACACGAAACTGCAGCTGGCCCCAAGGGTGGGGTAAAGGCTGAACAGCAAGTACCCCAACGGAAATGGTGTCCCGAACACACCAGGGGAGAGAACCCTAACACACAAGGGCAGTACTCACAGGGCCCTTAGGGAAGGCTGCCATAGACATATGCAGCCTCGGTACACTTTAGGTACACCTGGCCAACACACCATGAACAGTAGAGAACATCACTGATGCAAAACACTGAGTAGGAAATTGAGGACAAAGATAACGACTGCATTGGATTGCATTAGCCGACGAACTGAAATGGCTGGGTCACTGGCACGGGGAAGGGTCTGGGGCTACCCCTCTCCCTCCTGGAGGGGGGGGGGGGGCTGCACAGACGAGCGACGTGGCAGTGGAGTGTGACATTTGCTTGTTTGCTTGGAATTGGAGGGAGTTCTGGCTCTCTGTTTGGTTTTCGGTTGCAATTTTCTTACCATGTGGGGTCTGTTTTGTTATGCCTACCTTTTAGGGTACCTAACCCTAGTCGATGACATAAGGAAAATCTCCAACCACAGGGGAAGGAGGGTTCCAGGGCCATTGCTCCCTGTGCCCCTGAGGGGGGCAAGGTTCTGGCTCAACGTCCCTCGGTAGACTGAAATCCTATGACTAATGCCCCGGTCTAATGACTTGCATATTAGCCCAATAGCTCTAGGGAGCTAAAGGGGCTCCCCACAGAAAGCCTCCATTGTAGAAAGTTGATGTCTTTAGCCAGTCACCAGGCTGCAAAATGAGGTGGCCAAATTCACTGACCGAGGAGGCCTGGTCGACGACCGGGCCACGGAGACGCTAAGCCCCGAAAACATCTCAAGGTAACCATGGTATTCAGTAGTGCTGAATACCACCTAGTGGCAGTCAGGGTAGTTGGTTGATAGTTTGGTAGTTCAAAACGATTCTAGGCAATGTTTGAGTTTGATAAATTTACTTGTATGAGATCTGATTGATTGAAGGGGTTCTGTGTGTTCCAAGATTAATCCACCCCAAAATTACAAGTAGTAATCTTGGGGTGGATTAAAATATGCTCTCCACTGTACTCCCTGATTCTTCCGTTCAGTGTCGGTGCCGTGATCCAGCCCAGTAAAGTAAGCTAAGGAGAGATACCAAAGGGCTTTGTTCAGAAATCAATCAAAATAACAATAATATTATGTGGAAATCATAAGGTAATAGTAATACTATTACACTGTAATACAGAATATCAAATTATTCATTAATTTAAATAATAGCCCATTAATTAAAAATGTTTAGTATGCCTATAAATATACAAGATCAGTTGGTAATAATTAAAATAATATAGATAAATTGATAAAAACAGTACTAATGTGTTTCAAGAAATTGTCCTTACCAGTCTTTATAAGTGGTTTTACAGTGGAAATCTGTTTCATTTTTTCTGCAAAACTTGCTGAGAATAACTTGTTATAGTCCGGAGGAATAGAATCCAGAAGAGGATCAAGTGCTTCTGCAAATTTGTTCAGTTGTGATTCAAACCGAGGAAAAGCCTAGAAAGACACATTAATTAGCCTTACAACTCTCAACAATTCTTTAATTACTGCAATGGGATTGACACACAGTAAAGATGTTTCAATGAAAATGGTGATAATTAAAACCCAAAATAAATAAGATTTTTAACGCAGACAAGGAGTCACAATAACGTGGCTGAAATATGTTGACCAAACCACGCACTAGAAAGTGAAGGGACAACGACGTTTCGGTCCGTCCTGGACCAATCACAATCGACTTGAAAATATTCCAGGACGGACCGAAACGTCATCGTCCCTTCACTTTCTAGTGTGTGGTCTGGTCAACAAGACTTTTAATGAGTTAAACAAACCTGAGCATCCTTTTCTGAGAACTGTGCAATCTGCTGGTAATTCTGAGACTGATGTGGTCCAAGTGTCAGAGACCTTGCACGTGCACTCTGCCAGTACTTCTCATGCAGCGGTGTATACGAGCTTGGATCTCGAGGATGCACCTTTAAACCGCGGCGCTGGTAAAATAATTATAGCTCATTAACATACATTTCAAAGGAAATCTTCAAAAAGTTATCTAGCAAATTTCCACAACCACAAACAATATGGTGACATTTCTGGTCATCGACAAACACACTGGAAGAGGTAAATATACAAGAGATAAGGGTCCACGTAGTACAGTACAGTCAGGTTCCTTCTCGACGCACAATTGGGAATTCCACGTTCGAATCCCAAGCGGGACAGAAATGGTTGAGCACATTTCTTTTCACCTAATGTTTGTGTTTACCTAGCAGTAAGTAGGTACTCAGGAGATAGTCAGATTTTTCTGGGATTGCAGCCTGAGCAGCGTCAGTAATTCGGCCTAGGGGGGGGGGGAACCTCAATAAAAGCCAAACATGTATGAATACACTCTGGCTTCCTGCCCCCGACACAATAAACTAATTGAATTATATTACGCCCACTCAAGAGTGTCAAACAAATCTGATGAAAATCTGACATTGAGTGAACATGAAAAAAACAGTAGTTTTCCAAACAGCACATTGTTACACACAGAAATCACAATAGCATGATGCATCAAATGAGCAAATCCACAAGGGCCGTGACGAGGGTTTGAACCTACGTCCGAGAGGATCCGTGGTATCAAGTTGATTTCCAGGTTGCAATTCTTTTACCATGTCGTAGCTCTGTCGATTAAGGCGCGTCTGGGATCCTCTTTGACGTAGGTTCGAACCCTCGTCACGGCCCTTGTAAATTTGTTCATTAGCACATTGTTGCTCCATTAGGCAAAGAAACTACTGGACCTAGGTATAGGATCATGCAATCAGAGCTGGTTGATATACCTACTGTGTCAGAATGAAATCTTTCAAAACATCCCCCTGTATCATGCTGTTGGTAAGGGAGACACGAGAATACTAAACTCAGCCAGTAATGATCTCTAGAAGACTGATTGAGAGAGAGATGCCAGTCATGCACCTTCAGTAGGGGTTAGATAGGAAAGAGCTGCTGAAGACCATGAATTAATTCAGTCTTTTAGGGACAAGAAACCTGTGCAGTACTTTAAGCTTGTATTGAGGTCCCACCCTCCACCCCTCACTTCAAGGTTGAACTACTGACCTTCCCAAGGATGCAGCCCCACAACAGATACCTAACCCAATCAGAACGAGACATACTTGGAGCATACCTGAGGAGGGTTTCGAGAGTTCTTCTACTCCCCAAGCCTGGCTTGAGGCCAGGCTCGAGGTGCCAGGTGCAGCCTGGTGCCTGCTGCTGGCCTGGGGCCAGGCTAAAGGTGCCAGGTGCTGACCTGGAGCCAGGCTCAAGGTGCCTGGTATGGCCTGGTGCCAGCTGCCGGCCTGGGGCCAGGCTAGAGGTGCCCGGCTTGGGGGCCAGGCAGATGTGCCTAACCCAATCGGGTCTCAGCTCTCTGAGCTGACCAATGCCAGAGCAGCTACTATACTCATGAGGTAGAGGGTCTGGAAACGTCTAGAAACATTCGTGTGGTGTACATGCCACACGAAGGGTAGGCTAACCTTACTTCACCTGCCTGGGGCAGTTGAGTGACCTCAGCACACACCTGCCTGTGTGATGCAGTGTGATGCAGTGTGCACATGATGCACACTGCATCTTGTGCAGTTGGGAGCACAAGAAGCAATGAATCTACTCCAGTGCTCCTTACTTGTGCACAAAACTACACATTTCAACACACTGTATATTCCTAACTCTGACAACCGGGAAAATGCAATGTCACCCCTATTGTCCAAAAAGGCAAAAAGAGCTCGACAAAAAACTGCCGTCTGATCAGCTTGACATCACATATCTGCAAGCTTATGGAAACAACCCTACGGAAGGGAATCATTCACCATCTCACAATGAACAATCTTGTAAAATCAATCTAACATGTGTTTGTTAAAATAGATCCTGTCTTACAAACCTGCTCACATTTTTTAAAATGGTAACCACCTATTCAGACAAAGGACTTCCAGTAGATGTAGTATACATGGACTTTACTAAAGCTTTTGATAAGTATTCACATGAAAGACTGAGAAGAAAATTACAGACACATGGAATAAATGGCAGAATACTAGAATGGATAAAACAATGGTTAAAACAAAGAAAACAAAGGATCATGCTAAACGAGAATGAATCTGAATGGAGAAATGAGAGTGTCACAAGGGTCCATTTTGGGGCCAACCCATTTTTGCCATATTGATCAATGACATAGATGATAATATTACAAACCACATCATCGAATTTGCAGACGACACAAAGATTTATAGTAAAGTTGGACGAAAAAATATATTGAGGCCTTACAAAGAGGTCTACATGAACTCCACAAATGTTAGAAGACTGGCAAATGCTTTTTAACAGAGAAAAATGCAAGACTTTGCATGTGGAACATAACAACCAACATCACAACTACCAAATTAACAACATAACCTTGCAGCAAGTTGATGAAAAGAAATTAGTCAGAATCCATCATTCCCTAAAAGTTGCACAACAATTGGGAGTGGCAGTAAAAAAAAGCTTGCTAAACCCTAGGAATAATCAAGCATACCATAGACTTTAAGGAAAAGAAGACAGTTATTCAACTGTGTGCCCCCCTTGAATTATTGCATCCAAGCATGGAGACCTTATCTTCAGAAAGACAGCTCCTTTGGCATAAGTTTAACAAAAATCTTTCCAGAACTAAGTCATCTCTCATACCAGGAATGGTTGAGGGCCACAGGGCTAACATCACTCCAAACCAGACATGACAGGGTTGATCTCATGAAAATTTTTAAAATATTGAACAATTTGGAGGATATTGATCACATAACTTCTTCTAAAGATCAAATGTAACACAAACAAGGAGTAATGGTTTCAAACTGAAGCCATAATGTAGGACAGAAAACAAGAGATTCTTTCTCACCCCGTAAGGTTATTAACCCATAGAACTGCCTACCTGTCAAAGCTATAAATGCCAAAACACTGCAAAATTTAAAAATCCAGCTCGTAAAAATCATCAAGACAAATAAGGTGGGGGGGGGGGGGGCCTCTGACAAGGCCCTGGCTTCCTGTCCTCATTGAGGCCACTAGACAGATAGTGGCCCTCAGGTAAATTCAGGTAAATTCCCAAACTGCACTGCTTGCCTCACGGCAATGATATTCTCATTTATATATCATGTTTGTAGGTTTTCCTTGTGATGTGAATAACAATAATAACTAATAATAATAATAATAAAGTGCAATTTTTATTTATGAAAACACACACATGATTTGATATAAAATATAGTGGAAAATTCAAAGGTACAGTACTGTACTGAACAATCAAAAAATTGAAAATGTACATCATATAAAGACACTAATACGCAGAGCCTTTTGGCCATACACATAATTAGGATATTTATTTACAGTACAACTTTAATTATGCAAAACTTGTAAATATATATCCTAATTAGGTTTATGTTATGACCAAAATGGTCAGTATATTAGTAGTTTTATAACATACATTGTTTACCCAAGAATTCTCCCTATCAAATGTACAGTACAGAGTTTTGAAATGAAAAATTTTGTAATGAAAATTTAACTGACAAACTGGTAATGAAGATTTATAAAAGACAGCAGAGCATATGGGTAAGACCTGAGCCAAGCGACAGAATGATACATGATGATTATGGTTATATTTTCTAATGAAGATTAGAGAAAACTTTAAATGTTCCTCATCTCTTTATTTGTTGAGTACAGTACTACCTTTAATTCCAAGTCTTCATACACGGTTGGCCTCAATAATCCAAGAACATATGATGCTCTGGAAAATTTATACCCAGGGATAATCTCTTCGGTGACTGCTGCTCCTCCAAGAATATGGCGTCTTTCCAGTACGCACACTCGCTTTCCCGCTTTTGCCAAGTAAAAAGCTGCGACAAGTCCATTGTGACCTGAAATTCAGTTTACTTTTTGGAAGGAGAATTTTAAACCCAACATTTCTTAAGTAAAGAATACGCTACTTTTTTTTTATAAATTTAATGCATAAATTACTTGTATGCTTATGCAGGTTTCCTTAATCTAGAATCATTATTGTACAAATCAAGCTTAATACTGAAAATATGGCTTCACTTAAATTTCCCCAATACTGTGTAACCTCTAAAATCAAGGCTATATGAGGCATTAAGCACTTCTGTGTGCAATACAATATTAAATAATGCAGTGAAGTAAGTAATTATCAAAAGAAGGCACCAAGCCAGGAAGACTCATTGGATATTGAAAGGGTACTAAATACTGCATGAACTCGGTTATCCAAAGCCCACTGAACTAAATATTTAGGTTATTTGGCCAAAATCGCATCCGGATAATTTTCTGGCAAAGCTTTACTGATAGAAATCTTGATAACAGGACATCAGGTTATGTAAATTTTCAAGAACTACACATTTCAAGATTTATATTATCAAACATGATGGTGAACAACAAAAAGATAAGCTGAAGTTTGTTTTAAATTACTGTATATTTTTTATTTATAGTGTTTGTGGAAATTTGAATTATGTTTGTAGTACAAAAAATTGCAAATACAGTATGTTCACGTTTGGACTTTCTTAGTAAGAATTGTGTTTATCAGAATGTCTGCCTTATCTGGTAAGGGGTCTTTCCCATATACTGTAGTTCAGATAAATGAGCCAAGACACTATCACTCAAGATACCAATAAAAGAATAAAAGGACACATGCGAGCAATATCAAGAGGTACGCAAGTCACCAGAGATTCTCATGTGCTATTTACATGTACAAAACCTTGTTCCTAAATGCTAAATTTGATCTGAAACGTTTCCTTGATAGGTGTAATAGAATCCATGAGCACCACACCAGGAATAAATATATCTTTGATATCCCCAGAGTCAAATTAAATCTGCGCAAACACTCCATGCAAATAAAAGGACCCGGTCTATGGAACTCACTCTCCAATGAATTAAAAAATTGTCTAAACTATGCTTTATTCAAAAGTAAAAGCAAAAAGTACCTAATTTCATTCTCATAGTTTCCTACAAATACAACAAATACAAATGCAAATATTTATTCAGGTAAAGTACATACATACAAGGTGAAATACAAAAGTTGATGGATTTATAGATAGAGCTAGTACATACAATGCCTAAAGCCACTTTTACGCAAAGTGTTTCGAACAGGAAACCTTGTGCTTCAAACTCACACTGTATCTTGTACTACCCACTTCCCCAATATTAGTAGATAAGACATATATCTTCACCAGTGTCATCATCTCTCATCTCTGTCAATTTATATCGTAGCTACGAAGGAAAGAAACACTTAATCTAAGTGTTTTATCCCCCACACCTGAGAACTGAGACTGAGAACCAAGACTGAGAACAAGGGGTGTTTTTTCACCTATAGGGTTATTAACCCAAGGAACATTGCTGAACTTTCAAAATTTAGCTTGAAAAAATCATCAGGACAAATTTGGGGGGGGGGGACCTTTGACAAGCCACTAGCTTCCTGCCCTCGTCAAGGCCCCTCGAGTGTTCATGACCTCAGGTAAATTCGTGAAATGTATGAAATATCTGTACATGAATAACCTAATTATTTATTAATTTAATTATGTAATATAAATATATATAAATTTAGGTAATACTGTATTAACTTAGGTTTAGATAAGTTAGGGTTAGTTAGGTTAGGTTAGGGTTAGTTAGGTTAGGGTTAGTTAGGTTAGGGTTAGTTAGGTTAGGTTAGGGTTAGTTAGGGTTGGGATGGGTTGGGTTGGATTAGGTTAGGTTAGGTTAGATTATGTTTGTGTAGGTTGGTTAGGTTAGATAGGTACAGGAGGCTGATATGCCAGTAAACACTCTCCAAGCGGTCCGTCTAATTACCACAAGCTACACAAGCTTCACAAAGCTTCCTGGCAATGCGTTAGTAATGAATAAATATGATATATTTACTCATTATAATGTTGGTGCTAAATGTACAACACGAAAAAACATCATTTTAATCTGAAAAAGTATCTTTTTATAAAGAAATTAGACGAAAATAAAAAGCTGGCGACGGCAAATCAAGTCGACGATCCAAGCGTCGGTTAGGTTAGGTTAGGTTTGGTTAGGTTAGGTTAGGTTTGGTTAAGTTAGGTTAGGTTTGGTTAAGTTAAGTTAGGTTAGGTTAGGTTAGGTTAGCCTAACCTAACATATCATATTTATTCATTACTAACGTATTGCCAGGAAGCTTTGTGAAGCTTGTGGTAATTAGACGGACCCCTCTCCAAGCAACAATGTGTCTTGGATAAGTCGCTCCAAAACATTGTCGCTTGGACTGTCGTCTTTGCTTTGGCGTCACGAGCGGCTTATTTTCGTATAATGTCGTCATGAAATGATTTATTCATTACTAACGTGATATTAGGAAGCTTAGGGAAGCTTGTTAGGAAGCCTAAAGTAACTTTGGGTAATTAGACGGACCCGAATAAAATAAATACAAGTAAACAATGATAAGTGTCCATCGTCTATGAATGAAGTGACAGCCCCGTCCTAGAGACAGGTGACAGCCCCGTCCTAGAGACAGGTGACAGCCCCGTCCTAGAGACAGGTGACAGCCCCCATTCTAGACAGATAACGGCCCCGTCCTAAAGACAGGTGACAGCCCCCATTCTAGACAGACAACAGCCCCGTCCTAGAGACAGGTGACAGCCCCCATTCTAGACAGACAACGGCCCCGTCCTAGAGACAGGTGACAGCCCCCATTCTAGACAGACAACGGCCCCGTCCTAGAGACAGGTGACAGCCCCCATTCTAGACAGACAACAGCCCCGTCCCAGAGACAGACAACAGCTCCGTCCCAGACACAGACAACAGCCCCGTCCTAGAGACAGGTGACAGCCCCCATTCTAGACAGACAACAGCCCCGTCCTAGACACAGACAACATCCCATCCCAGACACAGACAACAGCCCCGTCCCCGTCCCAAACAACAGCCCCGTCCAAAAGACAGACCTGTGTTATCTAAGCCACACCAACATTTAAACATTTAAACATAGTTAATATACTCACCGCCGCCAATAACAATGGCATCATATCTCTTGTCCTTCGTGACGGCCGAGGAGAGACATCGAAGTCGGCCATTGAGGCCGCAGCGTCCCCCAAGAACCTTCGATCTCGCCAACATCGTTCTGCTCTTTGTATCGCTCTCCTGTGACGTCATCCGATGTCCCATCGTTATCATGCGTGGTGAGTGCTTTAAGCTTTATATTATCACTATGTGAAGAGTGCTTTAAGCTTTATATTATCACTATGTGAAGAGTGCTTTAAGCTTTATATTACCACTACGTGAAGAGTGCTTTAAGCTTTACATTCCCACTACGTGAAGAGTGCTTTAAGCTTTATATTACCACTACGTGAAGAGAACATAAGAACATAAATTAAATTTCATAAATTATGAAAAACATAAATTAATAATTGAGTCGCAACATGGTTTTATAAATGGCCGTTCATGTTTAACAAATTTGTTATCTTTTTATTCTAGCATTGTTGAGGCAGTTGATAGTGGTAAGGATTGCGATGTTGTATACCTTGACTTTAGCAAAGCTTTTGATACAGTGCCACATGAAAGACTGATTAAAAAAATAGAGTCTCATGGTATTGGGGGTGCTATATTAAGCTGGATTAGGGCATGGCTATACCAAAGGAAACAGAGAGTTAGTATAAATGGAATCAAGTCAGAGTGGGAAAATGTTGTAAGTGGAGTGCCTCAAGGCTCTGTCCTGGGACCTCTGTTGTTTATAATATATATAAATGATTTAGATTCAGGTTTGAGTAGCAACATTTGCAAATTTGCCGATGATACGAAAATCGGTAGGGAAATTAATTCGGAGGAGGACTCACTATCACTTCAAGTTGATCTAGATAGGGTTTTGAAATGGTCAAAGGATTGGCAGATGCAGTTTAATGCTGATAAATGTAAAGTTCTGAGGTTAGGTAATGATGATAGAGTTACAAGATACGAGCTAGATGGTGTTGTGATTGCGAAGTCGGATTGCGAAAGGGATCTGGGAGTTATGATTAGTAAGAATTTAAAACAAAAGGATCAATGCATAAATGTTCGTAATAAGGCAAATCGGACACTTGGATTTATTAATCGCAGCGTTAGTAACAAGACACCTGGTGTGGTTCTCAAGCTATATCTTGCTCTAGTTAGGCCTCATTTAGATTATGCAGTTCAGTTTTGGTCGCCATATTATAGAATGGATATAAATTCACTTGAACGTGTCCAGCGTAGGATGACTAAGTTAATTCCCCAAATTAGAAATCTTTCATATGAAGAAAGATTAACAAAGCTTAAGTTGCATTCACTGGAAAGGCGAAGAGTTAGGGGTGACATGATAGAGGTTTACAAGTGGATGAATGGACATAACCGGGGGGATATTAATAGGGTATTAAAAGTATCAACACAGGACAGAACACGAAACAATGGATATAAATTGGATAAGTTTAGATTTAGGAAAGACTTGGGTAAATACTGGTTCAGTAACAGGGTTGTTGATTTGTGGAACCAATTGCCGCGTAACATTGTGGAGGTGGGGTCCCTCGATTGTTTCAAGCACGGGTTGGACAAGTATATGAGTGGGATTGGGTGGTTATAGAATAGGAGCTGCCTCGTATGGGCCAATAGGCCTTCTGCAGTTACCTTTGTTCTTATGTTCTTATGTTCATAAGAACAAAGGTAACTGCAGAAGGCCTATTGGCCCATACGAGGCAGCTCCTATTCTATAACCACCCAATCCCACTCATATACTTGTCCAACCCGTGCTTGAAACAATCGAGGGACCCCACCTCCACAATGTTACGCGGCAATTGGTTCCACAAATCAACAACCCTGTTACTGAACCAGTATTTACCCAAGTCTTTCCTAAATCTAAACTTATCCAATTTATACCCATTGTTTCGTGTTCTGTCCTGTGTTGATACTTTTAATACCCTATTAATATCCCCCCGGTTATGTCCATTCATCCACTTGTAAACCTCTATCATATCACCCCTAACTCTTCGCCTTTCCAGTGAATGCAACTTAAGCTTTGTTAATCTTTCTTCATATGAAAGATTTCTAATTTGGGGAATTAACTTAGTCATCCTACGCTGGACACGTTCAAGTGAATTTATATCCATTCTATAATATGGCGACCAAAACTGAACTGCATAATCTAAATGGGGCCTAACTAGAGCAAGATATAGCTTGAGAACCACACCAGGTGTCTTGTTACTAACGCTGCGATTAATAAATCCAAGTGTCCGATTTGCCTTATTACGAACATTTATGCATTGATCCTTTTGTTTTAAATTCTTACTAATCATAACTCCCAGATCCCTTTCGCAATCCGACTTCGCAATCACAACACCATCTAGCTCGTATCTTGTAACTCTATCATCATTTCCTAACCTCAGAACTTTACATTTATCAGCATTAAACTGCATCTGCCAATCCTTTGACCATTTCAAAACCCTATCTAGATCAACTTGAAGTGATAGTGAGTCCTCCTCCGAATTAATTTCCCTACCGATTTTCGTATCATCGGCAAATTTGCAAATGTTGCTACTCAAACCTGAATCTAAATCATTTATATATATTATAAACAACAGAGGTCCCAGGACAGAGCCTTGAGGCACTCCACTTACAACATTTTCCCACTCTGACTTGATTCCATTTATACTAACTCTCTGTTTCCTTTGGTATAGCCATGCCCTAATCCAGCTTAATATAGCACCCCCAATACCATGAGACTCTATCTTTTTAATCAGTCTTTCATGTGGCACTGTATCAAAAGCTTTGCTAAAGTCAAGGTATACAACATCGCAATCCTTACCACTATCAACTGCCTCAACAATGCTAGAATAAAAAGATAACAAATTTGTTAAACATGAACGGCCATTTATAAAACCATGTTGCGACTCAATTATTAATTTATGTTTTTCAAGATGAAGACGAATTTTATTTGCTATTATAGATTCGAGTAACTTTCCCACAATAGACGTTAGGCTAATTGGTCGATAGTTAGACGCAAGTGATCTATCTCCTTTCTTAAAAACTGGTATCACATTAGCAACTTTCCAAAACTCTGGCACTCTGCCTGACTCTATTGATTTATTAAATATGGTTGACAGTGGGTCACAAAGCTCCTCTTTGCATTCTTTAAGCACCCTGGCAAACACTTCATCCGGCCCTGGGGATTTGTTTGGTTTGAGTTTTACTATTTGCTTAAGAACATCCTCCCTGGTAACTGTTAAACTCGTCAACCTGTCCTCGTCCCCACCCACATAGACTTGTTCGGCTGAAGGCATATTGTTAAGTTCCTCTTTAGTAAATACAGATACAAAATATTTATTAAAAATACTACTCATCTCTTCATCACTATCTGTTATTTGACCTGTCTCAGTTTTGTTTGCGTGGCTTCTGCAAAAATTCCCCTACAATTAAACACTGTTTTGTGCGAGATGGTAAAATTATAGCTAGGAGGACTGACACTGGAAAAACCTATTCAATAACCACAGAAGCTCACCTTAATTCCTTCCTCAGTGACTGTGGGATAGCTGCTGTATAGCCTGAATTCAGATTATAATCTCATATAACTACCTTTGTGTACTCTAGCTCTGCCTTTCCCTTCAAAAGGTTTTAACTTTAGTTTAAAAAAGAAAAAAAAAATAATAAAAAGAATAATATTGTCATCTTTATTATTGTCTTTTTTTCTTTTTACTCCCATGTTCCATAGTACACTGGCTTTGCCTGTGTCCTCTAGTATTAACTTCATTATCCAATGTTCCTGAGTGTATCTCTATTTAAACTACCTCAGTTTGTTTTAGTGTAACTTTAGTATTCAATTATAGTGTACTTATAATAGTATAGTAAGCAAGCTTATTATCTTATAGATTTCATAATTGTTTTTTTTTTTTTTTACTTTTTTGGTCATCTATTGTTATTAATTATTCTAGTTAATTTTTTACATTCCTAGTTCCCATTAAGTTTTTTTTTTTCTTTTTACTTAAAATTACCATTAAGTTTATTTTACTTTAGAATTTTTAATCTGCTTTTTTCTTTGTTTTCTATTTTGTAATTTGCCATTCTTACCTTGTTTTCCTGCAATCAGCCTTTTTATGCAGACAAGTATAGACCCAGAACTAAACCTCTTATCCACTATCTATGACAATCATCACTTCAATGATCAAAATTGCAGATATTTTACAGCAAATGATGTAAACAATGTATTATCAGATAATCTCAATATCTCTGTAATCAACTTGAACGTTAGATCCCTAGGTAAACACTTCGATGATGTTAGTGCCTTGATTGAAACTATTGACAACAAATTCTCTTTTATTATACTTACTGAAACGTGGTTGAAAGAGGATAATACTCAACTCTTTAACATGCCTAACTACTCGGCAATTCACAACTGTCGTCAAATGCAGAGAGGTGGTGGTACTGCTCTTTACTACCACCAAGAACTAACATGCTTAAAAATAATTAGAACTAGAGACTGCTGTGGGGAGTATATTTTTGCCAGTTTCAGAGTCAAGGGTGCCGAGTCTGTCCTGTCTGTGGGTGCAGTCTATAGAATTCCTAACACTGATGTGTCTGAATTCAACTCAAACCTTAGAAATCTAATACTAGATAACAGATTGAACAAAAACCATCTAATTATCGCAGGGGACTTTAATATTGACCTCTGCGAGCCTGAACACCCTACTGCTGTTAGCTTCCTCAACTGTATGAATTCCTGCTTCCTCATACCCTTAATCACTAGACCAACTAGAATCACTGATAGTACTGCTACGACTCTAGATCACATCTGGACCAACATAACCTCTCCGCTTACTTCAGGTATAATCACCGATAGCACTACAGACCATTACCCCACATTTCTCTTAACTAACATTAGCAAACCACCTCTAGAGACAAGGGAGTTAAGCTTTAGGCTGCACAATGAAACTGCTATAAACAATTTTATAACTGCTGCTGATAATGTCAACTGGGAGTCCGAGTTAGGTAACATAGGGGACATCAACCTAGCAGTGAAATCTTTTCTACAAACAACTCTTAGTCTTTATAACACCCACTGTCCTATGCTTACAAAACAAGTCACAAGCAAAAGACTTAACAATCCTTGGCTTACAAAGGGAATACTTAAATCCATTAACAAAAAACACGACCTTGAGAAGAAGTATAGGCTAGGAACAGTC